AGTCTTTGATAGCGTCTAGGATTGACGTGTCTAGCTTTGGGCTGCATATCCGGTCTAGCAGGGCCATCTTGATCGCGTCTCGTCCCCAATGGCCTCCTTTTGTGTGTTCCTGTGCTGCTAACGTTTTAGCTTCTTCTCTTGTAACGCACTCTACCTTTGCTCTTGCTCTTGTCGGTGTACCGCCTCGCAGCTTCCAGAGTCTTCCATCTTCGATGATGTACTGTTCTGCTCTGTGACGTGCTCGCCGTTTCTCTCTGATTTCCGTGGACTGATCCAAATTACATAGCGCTTCTATGACCTCTTTGAATACTGGTTCCTTCTCGAATCTTGCGCATAGAGCTTCCGCTGCTGCGTTCACGGTCGTGACGTTCATGATGTCGTTGACTAGACCTATTCTCGCTTCCCAATCCTCACTTACCGTCCATTCGCTTCCATCTCCCTGCATCGCAGGTGTATTCTCCCATCTTCGACTAATACCGTCAGCTACAACATTCAATCTTCCTGGTACGTGCCTTATGTCCACTATGTGGTATGCTAATATGCCTTCTCTCCATCTTGCGTGTGCTACGTTTAGGTGCGGGTTGAGTAAGGTGTCTTTCATCGCGCTACAGTCCGTTTCGATTTCTACTGGGAATCCCCAGATTATGCTCGAGAATTTATCCAGTCCGAACTTGAGCGCTGCAAACTCCAGTAAGTATGATTTATACTTCTTTTCTGTTGTCGATGTTCGCTTCGATGCGAAACCTAACGGGTGTAAGCGTTCCACCCATTTTCCCGTTGTTGTTTGCGTCTTGACTCTCTGCGATAGGACTGCTGCGAAACCTTCTATGCATCCGTCTGATGTTATTACGAAGTGCGATCCGTCGTATCTCGGCGCTTGGAGTACTGGTCTTGACGTGATTGCTGTTTTTAGATCTAAAAACGCTTTAGTATGCTCCTGCGTCCAAATAGTACTTAGCTTGAAGCTACTCATAGCTCTTCGATACGCTGCTTTGGACATGGTATGGTCTACCGGTACTTTGAGTAATAAATTCCGTAATGGTCCTTCTCGTTTTGCGTATGCGTTGATCAACGTGCGATAGAATCCTGTAAGGCCTAAGAACGATGCTAAATTTTGTGCGTCTTGAGGTCGCTGCCAATCTACAATTGCTGTCAGTTTCGTTAAGTCCGGTTTGACTCCGTCTCTCCCTATAGTCCCTCCTGCGAACTCTGTCTCCGTCATACATAACTTCGTCTTGCTTGGTGCTATCGAAAATTTGCATTCTCGAAAGCGCTGAAATAAAACCGTTAGTTTGTTCATCATTTCTCGAAACGTACTTGCTGCGCATCCTCCGTCGTCCATAAATAACTCCATGTAGTGCGTTATTAAAAGGTCGTGCAATCTCTCAGCTAATGCGTCGCAGAATGCTGTCGGCGCTCCCGTGATTCCCATCGGCATCCTTCGATACCAGAAGTATCCTCGTCCTTCGATGTAAAATGCTAGGTACGGGCGCCATCTTTCTGGTACTTCTATTGCGTAGTATCCTGCTGCGAAATCAAAAATTGATATATAACGCTGACCACTTAGCCTTTGTTGTTTTGATAGTATGTCGCCCTGCGGCATTGACACAACTTCCGTTACCTTATTTAGTTGTGCAAAATTCTGGCAAATCCTCCATTTTTTCGGCTCTTGTCCTGCTGTTCCATTGTCCGTTGGTATGGGTACTTCCCTTGGGGGTAATTCATATGCTGGTTGTAGTCCCTCCGCTCGGTGCTGATCATTGATTCGTTGTTTTAGTTCGTCCCATGGTAGACCGCCCGTTTCGTGCGCTCTTTGTGCAATAACCGTGGTCGCCGTGCATTGAATCAACTCCGGAGGTGCTCGCTCGATGATCCCCGCGGCCAGCATGTCATTCGCTCGCTCGTTGTAAAACTTTGACTGTTCTGGTGTCAACGGGCGTTGGTGCATTCGTAAGTTAAATGTTGCATTATCTGGTACGTTCAAGTTCAGTATCGCTCCTGGGATTGGAATTACCTCTTTCAACGTCAATGCGAAACTATCCGCATTCTCCTTGACAAACTGCTCCAACTCTTCTCTCTCTTCCGCTGTTAAGTCTTCTCCAAATCTAACTTGTCGTAGGATTTCTTTAACTCTTGCTGCGTTGAAGGGGTTTGTTCGACGTGTGTATATCGATGCGTCGTTCCTTGCTGGTTCTAACTCCAGGATTTCTCCTAATAGTTGCTCTTCTTCTTCGTTCGGTTCTCCTTGTGGGATCAGTACATTGATGCCTGTTTCGTGCAATGTCGAGGTATTTGTGTCCATGTGCGCTCGTCGTGATGATAATGAGGCTGTCATGACTTCCCTTGGGGGGAGCTTCTCGCTCCCCACTGTCTTCTCCTGCTTCATGCTCTTCTCTTCTCGTCTGACCCTTAATCCTGTAGGTCTCCACTGGCCCATAGGGATGTCCGACGGCTTCGTATTGTTTTCTGGGACTCTCTCATTCCTCTGCTTGACTGCTATTCTTTGCTGTTTCTCGTCTAGCGTCAGATTGACTTCCTTTCCTCTCAGCAACATCCGTTCATCCGCTATCTGGTTGTTGAGTGAAACCGTCTGTGTTTGATCCTTTACTCTGATAGTGTCTGATGTATATTCGTGAACCGCTGCGAATGCTTGAAGCATAGGTTTTCCGAATAAAAAGCCCCAACTTCCTCCGCTGTCGAAGACTTCGAACGTGCTCTGCGCTTTCGCGCCTTCGATTCGTACTGTTCCTGTCCATTTTGCGACTGCTCTAACGATGTTTCCGTTTGCCATCCTTAGTCGTCTCTGCGATTCGCTCCAATTATGCAGTCTATGTTTGATCTTCTCGAAGACTGATGTGCACATTGCACTGACCATGGCGCCGTCGTCAAACAGCGCTCTAACTCTGACCAACTCTCCTTTTGGACCTTCTAACTCTATCCGATGAATAAATGGAGTTGCTTCCCCATTCTCTAGCTGCTTCCTTGTGATGTGCGGGTGTCCGACCGAATACAGATCAATGATCTCGATTATGTCGTGAGATTCGGTGGTACATGCGGAATTCCTAGCTACATGTTCAGCTGAGATTCTGGGGCTAGCGGTCCTGTTATTGTCCTCGCACGTTGCCTTTTCGCATGCGAGGACCTCTACTCCAGCTTGGGTGTGTTCTGTGTTCCGGGTCGACGTACTGCTCCGTTCTACGCCGACCCGTCCGCTTTTCCCTGCTGCTCTTCAATTTCTTCAATCCACGCTTGCGTCTTTTCGTATTCACCGCTCATGACTAACGATATCGGTGTTGCTGTTGCTCTGTTGTACGCGCCTAGTACTTTGCTCGTGATCGCTCTCCACGCTGATTCTTTGCGTGTTAGTCGTTCTGCATGGTCTGGCGGCAGCGGGCAGTTTCGTCCATTATGCCCGTGAGTTCCGCAAGCGAAGCACTCGCTGGATGCGATAGCCGCTGTGCCCGGCTTTAATGGGTACCCCGTTTCTTGTGTGACTCGTGTGTTCTCTCCCCATCTCATGTTCCACTGCAAGAGCTGTGCTGCGTACGCGGCTTGTCCTGTTGCGTTGTCTGGATGATGCGGCATTCCTTGGATCAACTGTCTGACTGCGGCTTTCAGTTCTTCCGTTATCATGAAGGGTTGTTGTGCTGTGGCTGGTTGGCGACTGTACGTGGCTTGTGAAGTCTGGTTATTGCGTGTCGCTGGCACTCGAGCGTACGTGTTGCTGTTCAGAGATGTAGTAGGAAGTGATGCTGACGGGCTAAGTGTCATCTTGTTGAGTTGACTCTGCAGGGACGTAACTGGGTTCTGTGTTGGCGTCCGTATCTGCATTCGGGCTAAGTCTGCGCGCAACGCTCTGAGTTCTTGAGACTGTTTGAGGTGTTGTTCCTGTTTCTCTACGAGCCTGCCTCCTTTCAGCTCCGTCACTGCTTTCGTGAATTCCTCCCACTTCTTGTACTCTTCGTCCTTGAGCAGGTCCTTCACAATATCTGGCAATTTGCTACGCACTTGCCAGATCATGGATGTGCTCTGGTCGATGCCTGCGTCCGTTGCGAGTTGTAATGCTTTTGCTGCCCAGGCTACATGCGTCCAACACTCTCTGTCGTAAAGCATTGTCTTTTTTCCTACCTCTCCGCTTGCTAGCACGTGTTCTAGCAGTTCTTTCTCGTATTCTGCCTTCGTTTTCTCCGCTATCGTGACTGGTGGCCAGCGCTTCTCGAAAGCTGCTACAAATACAGCCCATGTGGCTTTGTCCGCGGCAGCGAGAGCTTTAAACCATCTCTCCGCTTGAGAACTGGTTCCGAGATAGTCTCCGAATGCGTCTAATTTGTCGCTGCCCTGCGTTATCACTTGTTGGCGCATTGCTCGGCTGAATGACTTCAAGAAATCCGCCGGATTTTCCGATGTGCGTCCGTCTCCGTGGAAAATCTGTGGCGTCTCCATAGGCATTGTTACTCGCGGTTGCATTACTGCAGCGATTTTGATTGAGCTGAGGTTAGGTGCTGGGGAATTGGATGCTAATGGTTCTATCTTCTTGTGCCGCTGTAGTGGTTGGATTATCAGTGACGGTAGCTGGAAGTCTAGCTCCGGCACTTCTATTTCGGGGAACGGAATACGCTCGTCGTTTTCTTCCTCAAGACTGCTTAACGATGAACTGTTGGAACGACTTGGTGTGTTAGGCGCTGATATTTCCGGTGTATCAAGTGGGGATGAGGCAGTTGACGTTTCTGCCGACCAATTCGACCAATTCATTTTTAAGCGAACGTTGGTCTCCGCTTGTCCTGTTTTCGTTCTGGGTCTTAAACTGTCAGTGCTAGGCATCAAATGTCCACGTAAGAGTAGAGTAAACTCAGCCCTTCTTTTTGTAATACGTGCAGGCTTTTAAGGCGTGTTGCAACGTAATATGCTTGCTGTTTCTGATGCTGCGGGCTATGACTATGATCTAAAACTGTGTGCTAATGCAAACTTTTGGGTTAATTCGAAATCGCTCTGTTCACCACGTTGGACTAGGGCTAGTGCGAGAGAGACAAGCTCTGGAGTGGGTGTGTGTTGCGATGCTACACTATGAACAACGCCGACTGCCTATGTCAGTGGCTGACTAAGCTATGGAGATCGCCGAGGGACTGCCTCTAGGCTCTGAATGCTCGCTGATGGACTGCCTCTAGTCTATGCCTTGGGACCCCTGGTCCAACGGGAATAGATGCGCGGACCCTGGTGACCTTCCGTCCAGGTATGAGCGGAGCCCGAGAGAAACTGCAATGGGCATCGAAGCGCGTCACCACTGTGCAGGAAGACGTTGCGTACGCGTTATTTGGTATCTTCGGCATCACCCTACCTGTCATTTATGGCGAGAAGAAACAGAACGCACTCGGTCGGCTCCTGCAGGAGATCGTGGCTCGATCGGGCGAGATCACTGTCCTCGACTGGATTGGACAACCTTCCGAGTTCAATAGCTGTCTTCCGGCCCATATCACCTCTTACACTACTCCTCCGCGCACCCCTTCGCCTTTGTCTGAAGAGTATATTCACACCCAAGTCTCTTCGCTGCGACACACCGTGTCTGCAGGTCTAGCATCGAAATTTTATGACCAGCTTGAACAGCTTAGAGCTCCTCGCTTTGCAAACTGCAGGCTTCATCTGCCTTGCATTTCATTCCGTGTCACGGAAGTCAGACGGAGGCGCGGTCTGACCCAGGAGACTCCCATCACGTATAGAATCAAGGCAGACGGGCTTCACGACCTGCTTATCACCACTGAAGAGACCCTAGTTCAGTTCTCACGGGCGAGGCCCACTCAGCAAACGTTCTTACTTGTCCGTCCATGGGATCGGCATCTCCTCGGGGTGCCTGACTTTGCAGAGCAGTCTGACTTCGCAGACGATACAGAGAGCATAGGAGATTGGACCGAGCCCGGGTCCCCGATAGACGACTCCGACGAGTTGCCCGGCGATTCACCTGTTAAAGGGGAGCCTGGCTCACGAGCGTTGCGGTTGATGGTTCGCCTCGGACAGCCTTTCGATGCATTTTTGCTAGCGCAGCAGCGTATCGGAGAATACAAGAGGATCGCATCGGACTATAACATCATTGCACAAGTGAAAGACATTACATCGGTTGATAGCATGGACGTCGGTACGGTAGAAATACTCTAGCTAATAGCTATCTATAGGCATTGGGTACCATTACGCCGCTGTGCGTTCATAGTGTTCTCTACGGTTCGCCGATTTCTGCTTCATTTCACTGCGTCGGTTGTCTTCAGAATGAATGATACAATAATTTTTAGCGATAACCCTATACATATATTGGCCCTATCATTGACGATGAATGCAAATCTGTGCATATCTCTTTGTCGATGATGTACCTAACTAGTCTTCTCTTGGCCTTCGTATTATTGCTCATTCATTTGTCTGTATTGGACTTACAGCTTACAGCCCCTTCCCGATGGCGCGAGCGCCTTTCCGATGGTCATTAAAGTTTCACACAGTACTTTTTCAGTCAAGCAGGAAAATGGATGTTTTAGTGCATTGAATGCGACTGCATATCATTGCAGACCCACAGCACATTGTATGTTTGGCATCCCGGTAACTGACGACAAGATCAATTTACATAGCCCGCGCATATCTCATTTGAAACGGCATAGCAATCATTCAGGATAAACTTCCTATAATCAACAGAGCCGTGTGGGAGAGGGTCGTCGATGAGACAATCTGCAATCGGCCAGAAATATTGCTTTGCATAAGGCAGGGCTTCGTTTAGCTCAATTGGCACCAGACGAGCTTGTTCATTCCGAATATACCATACATTACCGCATACGTCCATATAATACTCCATACCGTACTGTTTGCCTCGTCCGTCGCCAATATCACATACGGTAGATGGTCTTCACCTGAATTTTTGCTCGTGCCTCGCTGTAGGAGCCGAATAATTTCGGAGTGGTAATAGGTCACTCATCACCGGACAGAACGAGTTGTGAAGGATATGGGAAGTGATTGGAGATACCGAAACGGTTTGATCGTTCAGTGAGCATGTTATGTGCGAGAGCCCCAGTTGGCCGAATCGATTGCCTGGGTTGTGTTTGACAACTCAGGCAGGGCTCATAACCTATTCGCTAGAGCAAGTCTCAGCGGGAGTTAAAGAAACAACGCTAATATTCTATTTACCTAGAGCAAGTCTAGGGTACATGTTAGTTACCGGAGATACGAAAAATGAAGACGCATACCTCAGCGGGAGTTACTGTTAAAGGAACGAGCTGACGTGTATAAGTAATACACAAGAATGCGGAGAAGCTACCGGAGAGAATGACACCAGTAGTGCGACATGTGGTGTCGAAGGTGAAAAATATGAAAAGGTAACAAGAAAGGAAGAGAGACTACGATGTTAATCATGCGCACATGTGGGTACTTACGACAGAAATGAGACAGGTTGACGCGCGTAATAATACACACACCTCTCCAGAAAGACTCTCACAATCCACTTCGACCGCGCCTAATGACATCGACCTTCAATAAAATGTCAGAGCTCATTCCGATCACTACACCCCTGCAAGAGTTCAAAGGTCATGAAGAACTCGTAACGGCGCATCAGAGAACCTGTGAGAAGAAGATATCGTCATATATCGTTATATATCGTAATATATAGGAAAGGTTTTCGTCACATTGTAATATAAAGTGATATAAAGCAATATATGACCATGTAAAAGCACCATAATCAGCATAATCCCCAGCAAGAACTCACCGGTTTACTGATGGCCGGCAGTCGCAGTTTTCCCTGATACACGCCGGATGGTTACGAGCTCATGGGACAATACGCTTCGTCTATGGGACTTGAAGACAGGTGTTGTGTTGAAGAAGATGAAGGGACATAGCATTGAGGTGTTAAGATTGGCATTATCACCAGATGGGCAATTGATAGCAAGCGGTGATCTGAAGGGAGACGTTATCGTCTGGCATGGAGAGACTGGCGAATTCGCCCAAATCATCAAAGCCCACTCCAAATTTATCACCTCGCTGGATTTTTCTCCTGATGGAACTTTGCTGGCCACTAGTGCATACAGCGACAAAATGACGAAACTGTGGAACACCAAAACCTGGGAGCAACAAGGCGACTCAATTGAGTGTCGTCATGTCTAATATTCAAATTTATAATATAAGCACGAGGGAACGCATTGCATCCTTCAAGGCTCACACTGGAATCAACTTATCACTCGCATGGACACCCGATGGCACTCGCCTTCTTACAGGTGGCGATAAGAACGATCCTACCATATGCGAATGGGATACAACAACCTGGAAGCAGGTCGGCGATCCTTGGACGGGCTATACTGACTCTATCAGTGCCATTGCTGTTCATCTTACTGGCACACTCGTTGCATTCACATCTGATGACAATCATATCCGTCTCTGGCGGCTGTCAGACCGACAAGCGATTTCCATATTTAAGCGCTCATCCACGCCGTTCCGTAAAGATAAGATAATCTCGGAGTGGGCAGTACCTCCGAGTCAGGGTATTCATCCGAAGGCACGTTTGCAGTCTTGACTTGTATATTATAATTCGAGCATGTTTCGTACAGATCCTAGCCATCACTACAGCCCGCTATGCATGCATAAATGGAGACTTATCCACCGCTGAAGATCTACTCACGCAAGATATCAACACCAATGTGAACAACCACACTTCCTACGCCCATCGCTCATTTGTGATGGCCCGACAAAACAACTGGGACAACGCCCTTCAGGATGCAATTAAGGTGAGTTATACGTACTGATCATGGCCTCCTTACAAAAGGCTGACTTGACAGTGACATAATCTATTGGCATTCAGCCCTCATTGACAGGGTACATCTCCAAGGGTATTGCCCTCTGTGGAAAAGGCCGTATCCCGGATGCGAGGGCAGCATTTGATGTTGCATCAATGTACACTGACCAAGATCCACAAATCCTCCATTTCTTGCTTTTGATCAAGGCATGTTACGTTTACCTCACGTACTCTCTGCTTCATCGCGGATTTCAGGTCATCGCCCTCTTCAATGCAAATCAATATCATGAGGCAGATCTACTCCTCAATGAACTTACCACCGGTTGTCCGAATGCCGATACTCTTGGGTGTTGTGTCGTGCAAGTAAGTATCATCGCACTTGTTTAGCTACACTCATCTTTACAATTCGCACATCAGGCATATCTGCGTGTTCAACTCGGAATCAAGGCCTTGGATGGCTCACGTCACGAAGAAGCCGCTGACCATTTTACCGCCGTTCTCAACTCGAGTGCTCTCTCGTCGAGTTCACACATTCATTTTATGTACGAGGACTTGGTCGTGGTACGTGAATACACACCCGAAATCCTTTTCATAACTGAATCCCTTTCCAGCTCTTTGGCTGGGATCTCAAATCATTGTGGCTCATCGCACACCAGAAACGTTGTAACGCACTCCTTCGGGCAGGTAAACTCCAAGATGCCGTCAAGGCTTGCCGATACATGATGGACAATATCGATGAAACGACGAAGACCAACTGCGTTGAATGGTACAACGGCAAGTCTTCAGTAGTGTCACCCGATGTTATAAATGCTCACCCGGATTTCACTCAGCTTTCAAACAAGAATGCAGCGCCCTCCTTACTGACGGAGATGCTGCCGTCGCTGCAAGCGATTTCGACAGGGCCATCGACCTATATTCTATAGCGATCGACTTTAATTCTAGATCTGATACCGTCTTTGCAAATCGTAGTAAAGCAAAGTTGGGGAAAATGCTATGGACGGAAGCACTTCTTGATGCGCAAAAGGTACGATGGCATTTATTGTCTCTTCACTCATACTTATTGTGGTGACACACAGGTCATCCAACTCAAGCCTTCGTCTCCTATTGGATATGAGTTGGAGCATGCAGCGTTTCATGGCGCACAACGTTATGATGAAGCTATTGCGGCCTTCAAAGCGATGCTCTCAAAATTAAATAGTGCACCTGACACTGAGACACGAAGTAAGCCTCAGAGAGCTCATGCGTCAACATCCTTTAACTGTTTCTGCAGAGTTGCGCCAGCAATATCTCAGCCCATCCGAACTGGACTGTGCTATTCTAAAGGTCATCAATGCTCAACTTGACAACGCTCCGCTGCGTGTACTCGACACCGCCACCGGTCTCTTATGCGTTCGAGAGACGCAGATACGCACCTTCAAAACGAGCATAGAGTACAAGGAGCTTGTATCGTCAACAATCATGCATCCAGATATACAAATGAAGCGCATCGAAGAAGTGGTGATGACATACTTCCAATACGTCATTCTATCGCACAGGTGGGAAGGCGAGGAGCCACTGCTGCAAGATATCCAGGGAAAGGTCATCTATAAGTTGAATCCAATTGGCGGCATCAAGAAGTTGCAGTCCTTCTGCAAAACTGCTCGTGATTTGGGGTATCGCTGGGCATGGAGCGACACGTGCTGTATTGACAAGAACATCGATGTTGAGCTTCAAGCATCGGTCAAGTCTATGTTTGCCTGGTATCACCACTCCGCGCTCACAGTCGTATACCTCTCGGATGTTCCGCTTTTGTCAAAGTCGCTGGCAATGAGCGCTTGGAACACCCGCGGATGGACGGTGCAAGAATTCCTCGCTCCCAAAGTCATTCTCTTCTATCAGAATGATTGGACTCCTTATCTCGACAATCGCACTCCCAATCACAAGGATTCCGTCGTGATCATGCAAGAGTTGGAGGATGCGACGGGCATAGATCAACGAACCATCGTGGCCTTTCGTCCCGGGATGCGAGACGCCCGAGCGAAACTTCAGTGGGCGTCGACACGTACTACCACGTTGCAAGAAGACATCGCATACTCATTATTCGGCGTCTTTGGCGTCCGCCTGCATGTTGATTATACCGAGAAGAAGCAGAACGCGCTTGGGCGGCTCCTGCAGGAAATCATAGCTCAGTCTGGCGATATTACTGCCTTGGACTGGGTCGGAAAGTCATCAGAGTTCAACAGCTGTCTACCAGCCGACATCACTTCATATGAAGCTCCCTCGTCTAAGCTGTCATCTCTATCCGAAGATGAGATTCAGTCATCGGTCTCTTTACTGCGAGGTGTTGTGGCTTTACAGTCGGCTTCACAACTATATCAGACGCTCGACTACCTGAGCGCCCCCCGTTTCGCACACCGCCGGTTGCATGTGCCTTGCATTGTATTCCCGGTCACAGAAGTCAGGCGGAGGCCACGTCATGACCAGGGTACATATACGTATGAAGTCAAATCAGACGGGCTTCGCAATCTGCAGATCACCACAGAGCACAAGTTTACCCCGTTCTCGCCGGCAAGGCCGCCACTCGCCTGGCAGACAATCTTGCTCGTTCGTCCGTGGAATCGTCATCTTCTCGAGCTGCATGATACTCTCGACAATACATCGAGCGTGGACAATTGGACCTTGTCCGAGTTTTCGTTGCGCGATTCATCCGCTGCACAGATTGGGGCGGTTTATCCAGATTCTGACTCGCGAGCATTGCGGTTGATTGTCAACCTTGGACAGCCGTTTAGTGCATTTTTGCTAGCGCGGCAGCGCGATGGAGAATTCAAGAGGATTGCATCCGATTATGACATCATTGCACAAGTTAAAGATATGGCTTCTATTAGCTACCTGATGGACATTAGGATACTAGAGGTACTGTAGCTGTATGCATGAATCATTTCCGCGGCCCTACACGTATTCCGGGAGAGCGCTTATCATCACTGACTCCCGGAGTCCCTACTCAACTCGTGCTTAGTAATCAGAAGGTGGTGCACCCTGAGAAAAACTGCCGATTCCTGACAAAGCGCGTACCCCCGGTACGCGTCGTTCCTTTGAGGGCCTCAGCTAGTATTCGTTCAATTTTGACCATATACAGTTGACTTCATGATCTGATCTCTAGCCTCGACGGACCGCACTCTCTCGCTGTGGGCTTTCGACTCTTGTGCCAATCACAGGCTGTTGAATCATTAAATTTCGACCCACACCCAGTCTGCAGGTTGCCATCAATGACTTCTTTGCACCGTTATCAAGAAGTAGTCTGAAGGCGCAGTTGTCTTCCTTCTCATAGTCTGATCACGGGGGACTTTTTGTACATGGCCGACTCGACAGCATCACAAATCGTGCAGTGATTATGATGGATTCTTGCCGCCTGCCGGGTACTGCCGGACTTGTTTGTGCGTTTTCCCAAAACATTCGGTTCTAGAATTGACAAATGTTGTTGTGCAGTCGCCAGTCAGCATTAGCACCGGCCACGATGATGTTACTGATGGGCCTGTGCATCCCTGTGTCCATCCACTTCAGCTTATTGCTTGAGGTTCCCGTGATCATCTACATGTATTTCATCCAGAATATTTTCCAATTCAACTGGGGACGTATTGATCCACATTTCAATGAGCAAGTTCCTGGTTGATCATTCAGGGTCACATTCAGTATCCTCTCCTGCGAACAGCTCTGCAATAACATTTTTTGCTGTCGCAAAACCAAGGCAAACGCTATGCTGATGCCGCACTGAAGCATACTAGAACAATAACCGTGACCGACTATCTGCTAACTGGGAAAATGATTCTTTGATTTTGCTACATGACGTTCAACGGTTAAACACAGCTGTTACTCGGAGTCACGGTCCGGCACAGTGCAAGGACCAAGTAGTCCGTTTTCAGGTCCTGGTCCATGGCCTTAACATAAGGCATAAAAGCTTGAGTAAGTTGCCCAGGCGTCAGGTAAGTGAGAATTCTAGACCTATGTGTTATTACTCAATTGTTGTCGATTTAAGTGAGTGAGTCGTTGGGGCGTGCCAATCCCGGTCTTGTAATACCCTGGGTAAAATGTCAAGTCAACGTCATGACGTAGCTGTGTAAGTGCCATGCCATCCCAACTCAGATGATTGAAAATGGATTTACGCAAGGAAAGGTTTTTCTTACGTGACTGACAATTAAACAAACTCGTGACCATTTTCTGCATTGACCCCGCCTTTGACGTTTAAGCCACCAAGATGCTCTCATTGCTCTGCTAGTTGCAGATGCTACTTCTACAACTGCACGAACTCTGGCACTTACGGAGGCAATTCAAGGTGTGACTGTATCATTCATCTTCGACCTTCAACTGACACGAATCTATTGTGGTGGTCTAATGGCGCCAAGGTCAAGGTCAAGGGTCGCAAATGTGAAGACATGGGTATCTAGAGTGCTTGCATCATATGATTGGCTACCGCAGAGGCTCCACAGGGTTGAAAGCGTTGATGTGGGAGACTTGTATGTATGTACATATTCTACATTGAGTCCTGATAAGCCGAAATTTTTCTAATCAGTAGGGTGCCATTCCTGCCATGGCCTCATTCTACCAAATTCTCGCTATGGTGAACTGGAAGGATCCTGACCTCGAAGCGAAATTGGAGACACTTTCAGCACAGTTGTTGTATGCTATCCTTGGCTTATACGGGTGAATGCTGCGCGTTGTAATGCCTTACATATGGTACTAATTAGTCCGCGTCTGTATCTGCAGCTGGGAATATATATGCTCTTCACATGTGGAGATAGCACTACTTCGGAGGAAGCTTCCATTTCGATGGCCTTTGGTGCGCATTCTCGAAGATGCGGTGGATGCTTGCCGCTTACGCATGTCTAGCTCTCGTACATTGTCGCTAGATTTAGCTTCTTGATTGCGACAGTTCTGTTGTGAGCCGACATACAAAAAGTGACAAACATACTAATGGCCTTCGTCAGTGCAGCACAGTTCAGTCCCTTTCACACAATCGTTGATTGTCAGAGTGAGCGTTTTATAAATTTTAATCTTCCTCCAGGATGCTCACCTCGATTTTAGGCATGAATTTAATCACCATAGTGAGCACGGGAGCTCCGAAGTTGCTGGTTTACCACCATATTACCTAGTTTGCGACAAACGCCGCCATCGGTTGCTCCACAACAAATCTGATGATCAGAACGTAAACCCTTAATCATCGATCACATCATGCTGAATCTAATGGTACATATATGTAGGTGGCTTATCTGGAAAACCAGTTACCTGCTGCGGCTCTTGCTAGTCCTCCTCTCACTAGGTCATTGGACAATGCTCACTCTCTGTGCGTATTTGCTGCCCTCTATTGTTACTTGTCCGACCATTTTCTAGTCCTTGTAACCACTCATGCATCCACTAGAAACGGGGTGTGCATAATCAGCTTTGTCAAACCTGCATATACTAGTGCGGTGATCATATATAGTACGCATGTCGCATTTATGATCAATGGATACATGATAATCAGTACCTCGGGTGTAGGCATGTTGTATGATTTGGCACTTTTGGTCTTTACAGTCATCGGACTCTTGAGGATGCCATCATCTTCTACGCTGTGGAAGATGCTTCTGAAACAAGGGGTGATATATTTCATCCTCAATTTAGTAGCAAAAGTTATCCTACTGGTGTGTTCCTGGACCTTGATGCTCCACAGGGTTGTCGCAGACCAAACTTTGTAGACCGTGAATCTTCTGAACCTGAGTCGTAAAACTGTTTCGCTGCATTGCAAACGCATATTCACTCTGTATCGTCAGCTACCATGGATTATATATTCTCAATGCCTGGTATGTGCCCATGATTTGACCGAGTTATGTAGCTGACCTTTTGAAAGTGGCATGCATCTGGTCAGGACTCTCGTTACGACTTCCTGTTTAGATGCATGACCTACTTTCATTTGCAGCACGATTGCATCTAGCCAAGTGGTCCTTGCGCTCCTCCGTCCTTCGACCACTTTCGAAAGGTTTTTCCTGTTTTCTTCTTCATTTGTATGTGTCACCAGTCTTATTCGTTGTGAATAGCGACAGTGCCCTGTCGACTAAAATGCCTCCGCTGACGAGTGACTTCACCATCTCAGGGTAAAATTCTTTGTTTGAGATGCGTATACTGCGGTTGACTGTGCGTTCAGGTTCCAGTCCACGGCTGAAACCTAACAGAGTATTTGTTTCGAATCACCCCGATTACTACTCCGTCCCTATGTAGTTTTATGAAAGGATCCATACTTCGGCTTCGACGTGTATTGGTGTATTCTAAATTTGTCTATCTTGTCTCTGATGCAAAACTTAGAGTTTTCGATGTGCCAGCGCTCACAAGTTTGATGGAGTCTTCATGCATGACTAGATCTTGTGGAAGCACGGAACGCGATCTTGAATATGCAGACCGAACATTCAAGCGAATCCCTTTGAGCTAGTAAAAGCACTTAGCCTTTTATGATGTCTCATTTGAAGCCGCGGCAGTTGCCTGGAAAATACAGCACGCATGCAGCCTCCGTGTCGTTTGCACCTGAACGGACTTGCCTCAAACAATGGAAGATATCTACCCTTTACAGGTCTTGAGTCTGGAGGGTAGAAGGCCAGTCCCACTTATAGAACACTCCCTCATTTTTATGCAGAAATTTGAGTCGAGAAAAATCAGTTTTGTGAATGACACGCTGCATGCAAGTATGATATTGTGAACGTGCCAAGGTCCTGGTCAATAATTGTTGTAGACGAGCTTTGAATGTGATGGGAGCACCAGAAAATATGATTGTAGATGGCTGCATGACAGTTGAGTCGCAACAGCCTCTTGAGGCACGCCGGGCGTAGCCGGGGTTGTGGTCATTATGTGAATGAGCACTGCTAAGTGAGACGACTCCACATGTACAATCATCCGTTCCCCGGAAGAAATAATATGCTGTGTCTGACCAATGTCCGACAGAACCGATCGGACCTGTATCGCTCGAATCGGATCATCACACATGACCCCGATGGTTTCAAACTCCGTTTGCCCTCTATTATGGAAAGCCGGAGCACCGTGCTCATTTTGTGACTGAATTTGCTCACGTGCATTGCCTAATAAGGCAACAAGTTTCTACAGGACACCTGACACGCCTTGGAGCCAGAGTCAAGTATTTGCATGAATAATTCAAGTAATTACGAGGTACACTAACACAATCAAATGTCACCATTCATCCACTATGCCATCATTATCCGACTCGTCACTTGAAAATTGCCAAACTATCAAGGCTGTGTGATCAACACCATTTTCTATAGGACCGTTATCTGATGGAACATTGGGTTCATCAAGCTCGGCTAGAGCATCTAAGTCATGGATGTGAGAATCACCTTTGCTCTCGTCAGTATATTGTTTATTGAAGGAGATTCACGAAGTACCTAGGCCCAATCCTCCACGCACACCACCCATGTAGTACATGCCATCCATTTCCTCATTAAAAGGTAAATCGGCATGGCCACCAATCAATTGCAATGCACTAGCGTGAGCATCTTCGTTTTCCGTCAGTAGTAAGTTGGGATGCGGATTCTCTGCAAGCTGTACAGCAGACAGTATGTTCCTGTACACATCCCAAACTGATAACCGAGTGACTGCAGGGCGTCCCATTGCATCATAGCAATGTTCGATAAAGTCACCAAGCATAGGTGGGACAATATCAAACACTGGATTCGAAGCATTGATGTAGAAATTACGAACGTAGTCGATGCCCTCGTGATCTATAGAAACCTAGTTGGCATAGTAAGCCTTCACACAGCGTCACTAATGTAAATAAAATACCTTGAAATCCAAAGCTCCAAAATCTTCAGGAGAATCATAGATAAGATTCGGGACGCCATGTGGGAGTATCTAGAGAAATCATAAGTGCGCATTGTCACAAGACGGGTATGAATAAATTACCTTGTTGCGGTCACGCCGCTTGGCAGTATTGTTCACTCGATCCCTGTAAGCATTCAGCTCCTGCTGCAACCAGGGTATAAAAACCCAACGAAAGACCATCCTAGACGAATGGCAAGACATTATGAGTACATAAAACTGTAAGACAAGTGCTACGAACATGTGAAGGGTATTCCCTGAATCATACCAGCCTTCAATGACACCTTCGTCCAGCAAGGTCTCGAAACCAGGAGTGAACCTGCGCCGGAGTTGTGACCAAGTGATCTCCGGCATTACGTTTTTCTTTGTACGCATCCAACGATGCTGCAGAGTTCCTTGCAGGGTTGGGTCATAGCGCTGGCGAAGAAGCGTCTGTGCATTGGCAATGCCATAATTTTCGGTGCCTAAATCGGATTGAGTGATTAGTGGCATGTCTGGCAGTTGTGTCAGTGAAGCATTTACAAGAGGTATATCTGAAACTTACGACCAAGTTCTGTGATTGTGTCAAGGTAGTAGCTAAGGATTAACTGCGGATTTCGGTTGGAGTGCCATACTCTAATCCACATGATCCGCCCTGAAAACGGTTCAACTCCAGTGTGGAGACCGAGCCCAAACCTCAGCCACTTGTCATGCTGGTCAACGGCAAAGAGATCATTGACGCCGGCCGCCCAGAAGTGCTTCCGTTTCAGTCGCCTTGCTTTACGTTGCCATACTAATTCAGGCTCATACGCAGCAAAGTACGACATCATGACGGACCTAGTGTAGTCTATAAGTCTCTGACAACACAATGAATTGGGAGAATTACTTAGCTACGCTCATGTTCTTTTCGTGAAAGAGTAGACCAATCATTTCTCGTGTTCCAGCATGAGGGAACATCTGCCGAAGTTCCATGACAGCTTCGCGGATGGTCTCTATAGTGTGACCCTGCCGACGCGAGCGTTCGAGGCCCATATCCACACGAATTTGGCGAAACTTTGTAAGCCTAAGATAAAAAATGAGTGGTAGAGTTAGCTTATCATAACTATTACGCACCCAATACCATAGCGTTCTGTATCAAAATGTTTCTGTAAGGCCAGAACGATCTCTTTATCATTGAGACGTGTCTTCCAATAGCGCAGGATGTGAGGCGTGAGCTCATCTAAGGGCGCTAGGATTTGTGTCAAGATTAAAGTCAGGGTGTAAAGTAAGTGGACTCACGCGTGGGTTTATACTGGTTAGGCATGGTGGAGATGCAAGACAGTCGCAATTTACAATATTCTGTTATATACTCCGTGATTCTATCAAGTGGCTACGTCAGTGATGCTCAATACGAATCGAAGTGGTTGCGCCAAGCATACCCATTATGACTCCGCGGACTGGCTGGAGAAACGTTCACCAGCATTGCAGATGATACCAGTGGTCCTTCAACCATAAATGAGTTCAGTCTCTCCATCCTACAACATGCATACCCATTTTGAATACACATGACTCCGCGGACTAGAGAAACAGTTCACCAGCATTGCACACTGAACCACTATCTCTAGTCACCTCCTTTCATAGCTGCATTTGCACCCCAGTTAAGTCAAAAGCAAGAAGCCGTCTACTCACAGCAATCATGTCTCAACATCTCAAGGCGAGTATCCTCTCTTCTTTTCTTTGTACAATCCCCTTCAGGATGGTTTCGCTGAATGTTTTGCAACAAGGTGATTCTCTCTAAAACCGGCACTCTTCAAGATTGAGGTGAAGTTCATGGTGTTCTCGATGTTCACACTTGGTCTGATCAACCTAATTTCTAATTTGGTGCAGCACGTTCAGACGGTTTATACAACAACCGGCGCTCTTCAAGATGAGGCTTATGGTCTCCTACTTGGTTGGTGCTCTCATTCGGTGCAGCACATTCAGACGGTTTATACAACAACCGGCGCTCTTCAAGATGAGGCTTATGGTCTCCTACTTGGTTGGTGCTCTCATTCACTTCGTTCTTGGCACTCTCACTTTGGCAGGTTCATACAGCATATCAGCATATCAAGACGGAGCATACTGAGACGGAGCATATTGAGATGATGGAAACGGCCTACTGGCCTACTTGGTGGGTGCTCTCACTTTTCTTGGTGCTTTCACTTCGTTCTTGGTGCTCTCACTTTGGTCGCATACAGGACATCCAGATGATCTAGTATGCCTGTTTATTACAGTATATAACTTGTCATGTCCCGCATTGAAATCTCATCCTATTCATCATGGCCTCTTACGAAGTTGTGTCACAGTTCACTGAAGACGCATTCGCCAACGAAGACCGCATCTGTGAACGCTCTACATGTGCTGCAAAAATTCATAAGGGAGATCCATGTTTCTACATTGCTACAATAGTCACTGGCCAACGCGGGCGCTTTGTGTGCGCAGCTTGTCACCGACACTATCAAGGCAAAGCAGCAACATCCATAAGGCCCACTGTTCAGCGTCCTGATGCTCAAGTTATCCGGCAAAACATCAATGCCGCATGGAAACCAGGTTCGTCCTTATACTTGCATCCTTTTTACCTTTACTAACGTGATTCTCAGCGTCGGTTGGGGCCATTCAGCAGTCACCGCGTGTAGTTGCCACTAGTGCCTCTTATGGTCGTGCTGGGCCAGATATAGCCGTTCCTTCCAGCTGGGGCAGTACCAACACTGGCCAGCCTGGCTACTCGGCAAACCATGCACAGTATGGCGCTGAACGAGAACGCTGGGCCAAGCAAGCATATGCTGTTCCCCCAGCAGAGACTATTAGCTTAGAAGTCTCGGCTGTACGAGAAGGTGGAAATAGGAGGAAGGGCGCCCATGGCATACCATTTGGAGTACGTACCATAGAATCAGAATGCTACTGTACTGACAGCTTTCAATTTCAGAACATATGCGAGGGCAAGAAAGACGTTGACGCACGCATTGATGCACCAGGACTCATTGCACTCGCTCTGGACACCATCTGGCCAAAGATACAAGCTTTTGCAGGAGGCTTTCCATGGCGCCAAGACCAATTCGTCATTCGGGATGGTGGATGGGTTGATTTATCAACCCATCCACCTCGTCAACCTTATTTTTACTCTCAGTGTATGCATGCAACTCGCAAAGGCTCACGCGCTATGACATTCAAGCCAAAACAATTCTTATTGTACGTTGTTGTACCCATGTCTCAGTGGGAGAACTACGAGACATGGCTTGATAAAGCTGAAGAGGTTCGTACTCATCTGACAATGACAAATAGGTACTTACTGACATGAAATCCTATATCCTTAGGAACGATTTAGCACGCATTCATGGCCCGAGTTACTCTCCACACCTTCTGTGAAAGAGAATGTCCATTTGAGCGCAGCAGCTGATTCATTGACCGTCTCATCATCTGAAGCACCATCATCTGAAGCGCCGTCTGAAGTGTCATCCCAAGTGCCAGTCAAGCGGCGGTTTCTCCATGAGATCACTAGTATCCCATCCTCACCTCCCCTCAAGAAAGCAGCGCCTGCTAAGGTTGCTTTCCATTCTCCAGATCGAGAACACCTAAGGGAAGTTTTGAAGTCTGGTGGGACTGCAAACATAAACTGTCGAACAAAGTAAGCATGACCTCACTCTCAAGTCCTTCTCTAAACGTCACTTGTAGTGCTCACTATCCAGCACGAGACCATTGAATTCTTCCCTGTCCCAACACGCCCACTATCAGTCATTTTAGAGGACCCGGAGCTTCACGCTGCCTTCCGCATGGATACCGAATTGGGCCATAGCGGCCAGCTTACAATTCAGACTTCCACAGATGATATGCTCGGCGCCGGAGGCTTCAAAACAGCCCATCCAGGTTTCTTGACACTGTTCTCAGCCCCCGAAACTCTCCTAGGTTCACGTCCACGCCAAAAGGTTGCAGTCAAGCGACCCTTTTACAAGAATTACCCTCCGGGCAGCAGCAAAAACCCGATGAGATTCTCGATTGGACGTTATACGATAAGCGATGAGCTTCCAAAGCTATTCAAAGAGGCAAATGTGCTTTACTGGGCACGTGCATTGCTAACATTTTCATATGAGTACATTGACCATTGTATTTCGAACTCGTCTGAACCTCCACCCTTCCACATCCCTCGCATGCGCTTTGTTGAGGCTGGTCTCGCATTATCACATGATCAAGTACAACCTGGCCATAAATCGAAGTCGCCGACTCGGATGCCTCGGGCTGGGTACCTTGTTGAAGAGTTGATCCCTGACGACTTCCTCAAATATATCCATAATATGGATTGCAACCCAATGCTTGACCCATATGAGGTTGGCTACGAAATTGCTGCATTTTTAGCTTGCACACAACATATACAATACGCCAAAACTGGCGGTCTCGCTTTCATCTCCGATTATCAAGGTATCCAACATTGTGTGGTATCGTACATGACCTTCTAGGCTGACTGCTGCGCTGCAGGTGGATCCGAGATTTTGTCCGACCCTCAAGTTCTTACTCATCCGTATGTGATTTTTTCTTTCACTTTGCAATGATGTATCACTCATTCAGGGACTGTAGCTTAGTCAGCAATGGCAAGGATGTCTTTGGGGATGGCAATATTGAACGTGCAGTCAGTGCATTCGAGCAGAAGCACAATTGCAATAATTATTGTAAATGGAGCGGCTTTAAGCTAGAACTTTATAAAGCAGCAGAGATAGGGACGGAGATGGAGATAGGAACAGCTGGAATGGAATTGGGGACAGCTGATATGGAGATGGGAACAGAGGCGGATATGGACTCTGCATAGTAGATTGGTTGAATTTCTTGTTCTGTCGTCATAGTCTAAACATGGATTGTTTCTCCGCGATCAATTTTAACACCAAGATGTGACAGCACATGTATTGTACAAATCATACTAATATACAAGCCACCGAAGTTCAAGCGGCCATGGTGGGGTTAGGGTTATTCCGTATAAGGCGATCCGTTCCAGAACGGATCGCCTTATACGGAATAACCCTAACCCCCTCACCATGGCCGCTTGAATGTGCGAATTTCAGTCAACAGTCACTTGTAGATTCACGTTTTGTTTTGACATGCTTATATCGAAGTATTATTTGCACGCAGTGTTTGGGGTCTCTCAACTGCATGTGACCAAAGTCGCTGGCAAAACGAGCACGGTGCTCCGGCTTTCCATACTCTATTCACGTGACAAGTTGTTATTTTGTTTTGCAAAAGAAAGGTTGTCTTCTTGTTACCCCTTGGAAAATTGGAACCCCCGGATTACACGGTAAACTCGTTCATTTCATTCATATGTGGATCTTTCTGATTCATATCATCGCGAATCGAAAGTTGACGGAGAGGGCTGACATTAACATGACAAGTCAACGTTACAAAGAAGTCAACGTTAACAATATTTTACTATAACGTCAATGCGACTAACCTCTTTCCGTGAATTTCTCACTTACTACGTATGAATCAGATCGAGCGACATACTAATAAAATGAACGGAAGAAAAAAATCGTCGGACACACGCTGCTAAACCCCCACTGTCGCGATCGCTCTGGTATCCCCACGCTATAGAGAGTCGTTCCTTCAAATTCAAGTTCATAACTCAGGATGAGTGACTACGTAGTTCTCATGGGACGTGAAACTACTTTTGCAGTACGTCCTCTGCACTCGCACAGTGTGCCAGTGACCTGTCGGCGTTGTGCTTCATTTGCTCACCCGAAGTCAGTATGTCGAAGGTAGTTCCACTACACTCGTATTCTTATCTCGTTCTGCACGACTGAATTCCTCGGACAGCTGCATCCATAGCAGCTTTGGTAAGGAGGAACGAATACTATGACAAGCAACGTCATGACCATCATTTCCCCCCAGCTTTTTGACTATTGTCTTACTTTCGACTCGGAGGTCAGTATGTTTTGATGGCTATGTGCAAAATTAACTTTATACCAGGTTCGTTGGACATGGGGGAGAAAATGGGGGATCGTGAGGATAGCCTTTGTGATCTCTCGCTATATACCGATTGTAATCATTGTTATGTACCTATATTGTAAGTGCTCGGGACAATTTGTCTATTCTCGCTCCCCACTGATGAGACCTTCGAATAGATATCCTCGAGTCAGGAGGAATTGTGCGTCTAAATTCTTGGCTGAGTTTATATCCCTGATGTCATATTCTAGCCAAATCCTGGAATGTACATTGCTATAAATGGCAGTTGCGTATACAATAATCCCACTTCAACTGTTTTGGATTCTCAATGATTTCACCAGCCCTGAGCGCCTTCAATGCTGTTGCTGCTGACGGTCAGAATCAACTCAAAGTCAAATCTCTTCCCTCCTAGTGACTCCTTTTTAGTTATGCTCGTGGTTAGGGCGCAAGCATTCTGTCGATGGGGAGTCAGGACCTTAATTGCCCTAACATTGCTCATTACCGTAACCCTGATCTTTCCTCTTAGCTACCTTTTTGTTGCTCAAATATTACACTTCATTCTAGGCCATAATAGCCGTTGCGCTAACAATTATATACGTGGTGACGAGTAAACCTGGAGGTCTGTATCTCCCCCTTCAAATTTCTTCTGCTCACCATGTACTACAGATGCGTATGTGTATAAGGGGGAAGAATGCGTGAGTATCGCTTATGGGTTATCCATGGTCTATCAGCTTTGTACGTAGCATTTCTATAATTCGTCCAGTGGCTAACTTCCGCCAGTATTGATGTCCTTGATACTGCACAAACGCTTCAAATTTTACCAACGGGATACTACACCATTGGTTGCTAATGTATATCGGGATGGTGTGATTTATGTGCTATGCATTGCTCGTGAGTCCTGTAGATTCTTGTCAAGAACAATGCCTCAATTTTTTCAGTGGCCTCGATGGTGAATTGCATCGGCATTGCTGTGCTTCCTGTGAGTAACTTTCTTCTGGTAATAAGATGAGCCTCTGATCAGATTGTCTAGGAACCATACACTTTTCTTTTCTATAGGTAAACAATATCATGATACTCTATATTCAAAGCTGAGTCAGACGAGCCCGCAGGCAGTCGTGTATAGCGTGATTTCTTCACGCATACTGTTCAATCTACGAGAAACAAGCGAATCGCAGGATGACGTTGTATTCAGCTTGGGGATGGTTTTTTCTCAACCAGTCGGAATCTCATCTACAGTGGATCATTTGGAGCTGGAGGTTATTGAGACTGCATAGTACTTGTGACTCAGTTTTGATTATGGTTATAGCTCCCCTTTGTTAGATATAGCCTACGTACTACGTACCATTGTTCGTGGATAGCATCCATCCCATTACGCTCACTTGATGCTTTGACATTCATCGTTGCCTTCCCTCGGTCTTCTAGTAGAGGGTACGTCCATTCGTTCATAGTTATACGGTACCACCCATACTGGATTGTATATGAACATTACATATGTCGAGGTATTTTTTCACCCCTGACGTACACGACAGCGCTGTGTTTCCAGCCCTTGAAGTCGCTGCTAAGATTGCATCAATAGTTCGATTGCTCTGAGCTACGAACAATCAACGCAGTTTTCAAAGTGTCTCCTTGTAAATATTTTCTCTGAAACAGCTAGCACTGCAAGTACCGCCTTGATCTGAGCGGCGAGAACACCTCGAAGGCGATCTAAGAATTTTCATGACCGAAAAGGTCGACGCTGCGAGCATGTGGCGTCATGACTTGACAGCAAGAGTGCGGCTCAGTGTGTCAACGATCGCGAACGAGGCAAAGAATTTTCCGAGATCTGACCTGGCGAGATGAAGAAATAGGTCGATCATGATTCTACATTCCAATGCCGGGCGTGTAAACTAGAAATACATCTGAGTCCTTGGTCTCTTGGACAAATTAACATTCTTCCCCGGTTTCTTCTTTCACTCCCTCTCGAAAATATACATGTACGCCAATTTCTTCAGATCCCTGACGCTCGTTTCATCCGCTCGCACAACCTTCTCGTCATTGAAAAGCACCCAATCGCTGACAGCACCATCTACATCCATCGCATCGCTTCTCGGCATACGGATGTGTGCGACATAATGACCAGAATGAACGCTGGGACCTTTGTGTGATATGAAGGCTTTCAGCCTGTATCGAGCAGGTAAGCGCGATGAACCAGGTGGTGCTTTTTTGGTTTCTGATGATGAGGTAGCGGGTGGGTTGTCTTCGCCAGTGTCATCGGGATGATTAAATAGCCATTCAACAGCACGTTCTACATTTCCATCCTACAACACTGTCAGAATAAGAGTCAAAACAAACCAGAACAAACTCACGGTCTCTCTCAACGCCTTCTTTGCTTGCGCGTTTGTGAAGCCCATGTCAGCAAGCATCGCTACCTGCTCTGCGGGTGGTTCTGGTGCATTACCACTTCCTGATCCTGCTGTTTGAATTGGTACGTTGATGTCTGAAACAATCTCATCAACTAGAATTTCGAGTGCATTCATTTCGGCACACCTGGGTCCTCCATGTGCATGATTAACCATTCCATTGCAACTTCAGCCCCAGCGTTGCCAGTTGCAATCAGGGCGTTCTGACAGCTGACGGTCGGGAAGCCCATAGCCTCAAGCTGAGACAGTGCTTCGACGTCAACTTCAGGCTGCGAAGGACCTGAAGTGTTAGAACTATCTGGTAACTCCACTTCGCCAGACTGAAGTCCATGCCCGAGGTAGTTATCAAGATGAAGTTCATCATTCTCTGGAAGGATCACAGGTATATCTACGATTCGGGGGTGTTAGAATGATATCAGTCATCGAGGTTGCAAAAGCTTACCTAGCTTCGTCGGGACCCAGTTCACAAGCTGGAACTTCTTTGCATGCAGCACCAAAATGTCAGGGAAAGTAGCAAACTGCATCTGCCTAAGTCCAGCATGAGTCAACGTTTGGGTAGACCAAACGACATGCGCATACCTGACGGCATTCACTTTTCCGCAGCCTCCTTCACATTGGTACTCCAGAGCCTCTTGTCCACTCGGTCCAAGCAATAGGTCCAAGCACTGTTCCAAAGAAACAGAGCGGTACCGCTTCTTTCCAGGACCACTCTCATCTGGTGCACCGACAGTTCCCGCTTCTTGTTCTCCCGCTCTCGTATCCGCTTCGCCATCAGCGAGTTCGTGAGCGGGTACACCAAGACTAAGGACATCCATCGTGTCTACGCGATACCTGACCCTGTGACAGGACTGGCACTGGAGACGTTGCTCGAGGCCAAAGGCAAACGATTCGGTCGGTTCAGATTGATCTATGCAAGATCAGCGCGAGTGATACTTGAGACAACCCTTTGGTACCTGATACGCCACGAGTATTTGAGTGATTGAATCGCCTAAGTACCGTCAACAGGTGACTAAAGAATTCTTCCGCATCCTGCTGGCGCATGGTGGAGAACTCAGCGTGGCCTTTACCAACGAGAGCCTTGAATCCTGCTGGCTTCAGGCCCGCCTGCCAAGGAGTATGTTCAGGTGTTGGGTGTGCGAGAGCGTCAGTCGGGGCTGCGGGCGCATACGTCAGATGTCAGATGTCGTACGCATGGATCACAATATGGTGGATCTTGTCTTTCAACATACCTTGTTCATGATCTGAGTGAGGTTTAGAGTATCGTCCGCTGAGTAATCCATCAGCGAGCTTGTACATCTGACATTCCAGGCAATCTGCAGGGAGGGCTTGAGTGCAATTGTCCCAGTGAGCAGCTGCTGTCGGAGAGACGTAGGGGGATTCTGTGCCTGAAGGTCCTTTACCATAATAACGGATTTGGAAAAGTGGGAGTGAGAACAGTGTCTGAATAACGGAGGCCATATAGCAACTGTGAGGAGCCATCGTCGTAAAAGTAGTTGCTAAAAAAATGGAAAACATGCCTATTTCCGAGGTTGCTAAGACCTGTAGCACCAGCACCAAAGATCGGTTGAAGTGCCGAACCGTCCTCGGCCGTGAGGGAGAAGTCAAACAGGAGGTTTTGCTCGATTTGCTGGTTTTGGGGGTCAGATTTAAGACAATGGCATTATTTTTCACCAATAACGCACAAGTTCAGTCATGCTCTTCTCGGTCTTCTTCTGTGCCGCGACATTAACACCAAAGGTACTGAGGTGGTTTACAAGCTCTGGGTCAACACGAGCGTCATTACATGCGTAGCAATATACATCTTGGAAATCGGGTCAGAAACATATTGAAAGGGCGAGAAATGACGACTGACCAGCACCACCCTCAGGTGTAATAGTTCCAAGTTTGACGCATACAGGATGCTGAGTCGTGTTAGAATGTGCTAGCGCGTGGCCATTGCCGCCAGTGCCACCAAATTGAGCACGACCGCATCCAAGAGCACCGCAAGTGAGGCAAAGCCAGAGATTTGAAGTAAGCTCGCAAGAGGCGCAATGCGCTAGACCTAATATTGGAATGAAAAATGCATTCTTGATCAGGAGGTTGGATATTACCTTCTTGTGGTATCGATCCACTCTGGAGCTGCTCCAAGCAAAGTGTGTGCTCGCAAGCCGTAATCTCCTCTTCCCAAGCTTTGACTTCCGATTGACGAGCCGATGAAAGCGATAGCATGATACCATCAGTTAGACGCTTTGTCTGTGGCGGTAATATCAGTAATGCAAGATCAGACATGTAGCAGACGAGTACACTTGCATTTGCAACATCAATCGCTACTTCCTTCCCGTCTTGCAGATCACACTTCCAACACTTGAATACAGTGGCATGCTCGTATTTGTCTTCTTCGCGTTCCTCATTAATGGCAAGCTTCTTCATTTTAGCCGGTGGCTCCTCTCCATCAGCCTAGTATGGTTCTAGTGTACGTTGCACATAAATGCGTCGCCACTCACGCGATTCGAAACCTTCTTCTTCGGGGTGCGCTTGACATTCAGAGTGAATGAGTGTCCTGATCGGAGGGCATGATTACGCGTATGGTGACGATCTGAGTCAAGACATGATCCATTGAAGCACACCAAGCAAACGTCGATGCCCTTAGGGCCATCCTGCACGGGCGTGAACTCCGGAATTGTGTATCAACCTCCTTAATCGACCTACCTGATTATCAAAACATTGCGTGCATTCTTCCCTATGAACTGACTGGCTTAGTTTTGGTTCTCTCAAACCAGATATTTCGTGAACATGGGGACAAGTTGCAGACATCGACATAGTGGAAATGTCCGTATTCGTTGTGGTCGAATTGAAAGTTCAGAAGTTCAGACAAGAGGAGCGCGATTTGGGACATTGTCACGTGGCCATCATGTAATGAATCCTGTCACATGAGTGACATTTCCACGATCAGCGCTTCAGCATGAAGAAACATTGTGTATCCTGTCTATTCACTCCAGTTTGCGCTATCTACAGGGTATTTGTTCTCCAACAAGCATATCATTGTCACAGCAAGTCCAGCCTGAAGAAACGGTATCTGGGAACGCAGAAGAGTGCAGAGCGTTTATAGGGAAAATCAAAAATCTGAACTTGGACTTTAGCAGACAGTCGCAGTAGAATTTATGTTCCACCTACTGTTCTAATATGCATGGCAGAGTCAAAATCCACTTTGATGATTGAGGGATTATCAGCTTTGGGCTCACCCATCACACTTTCGGTGCGGGGGTCCGCCAAGAAGCAGTAATGTATCAGAGCACGATGCCACAGATTGGCTGCACGAATATTTTCGGTAAGACCAGGCTTGCATGTGGGAATACACGACTTACTTCGCACAGTACCACGGAATTTATCCTCTCCGACAAGGACGTGGAGGCTCCTGTCCCAGTCTCCAGGACCACCAGGAATGTAGGGCGCCACGTGATTTTCCTTGCATAACATTTTAGCCTATTTTCAAGAAAGCCCAAGATGCGCACCTTTAGATAGGTAATCTCCGCATACCCCATGGGCTCGCCGTTCCAGCTCATTATTACAGGCAGAACACCAGGGTCGTTCATTATTTCCGTGATATATGCTCTGTGTTTCTCCAGCGAGCCGCGTTCTCCCCACGCCTTGTTCACTCGTTCTGAATTATGCCAACGATGGAAGGTGTCTAGATGCTCTGAAGTATTCGATCCGCTGCGGAGATCGAAGTACGTGAACTCTAGAGTCTCCCCTATGGATGGACAAAATCGCCTAAATAGCGTTTCTCCTGGTTGAGGCTTTGGTGGACGAAGGGGGTGCCCGGAAATGACAATGGGTGTGCGGGTGAATGACGGGATCAAGGGAAAAGGCGCAACTGAAAATGACGATGGAGGTAGCCAACCGCGATTATGATATCCTTGTGTTCCCGCACCCTGCCAGAACGTGGCTCTGTGCAAGTATATTTCCTCCTTTGAAGCTGTAGGCGCATGCGCCGTACGCCCGAGGCCGGATCGAAGTAAATACGAACGTAGCTCCTCGCTATTATTGATTTCCTGAGATAGGACAACCGGGATGATCTCTTGGTCGTGGTACAGCGTGAAGAGTGCGTACACAGTCGCCCACGTATCTTTTACGGATATGTCGTTTCTAGATGTCTGTGGCGAGCCGACCTGGGAGGAAGGAAGGATCTCAATGACCTGAAAGCTTGGTACATGTGATGCGGTGTTTTCGAACTGCGTACCGACAGCTGAAATGACGAGCTGTGCGGTCCGATCGAGTAAATGATACTCGCACACAATCAATCCATCGATGTGAATGGAATTCGTCGGGGATACAGAGTCTGCCTTGGCGGTCATGACCGCACCATCTGGCAAAATGAAGTTGTCCACCTTCTGGTCATCACTAACAGAAATGTTTGTGAGTGCACTTTGTATGGCTAGGAGACGTTGGGCAGCACGAGTCATCTGTTGCGGTTATGAGGACTCGGCGGGCGAAACCGAGAGCTAAAAAATGCAATCTGAGTCTATTGGACTCTCGTAGTAAAACAATTATATACCTGGAAGATATACTAATAACGAATTAGCAAAATATGTGGCTAATATGAGAGAATACTCACATCTCGGTCGAAATGTTCGTTCGTCGACGTGTATCCTTTATACTACTACGCTAATACGAATTCGCGGCATTAATTCGCGGCCCCCGTATAATATATTATGGCTAAAATATCTTATCCTTTGTTGATCCGGACTCCTTTATGTCTGACTCCACCATCACTAGGCATGCCAGTGGTCAGATAACAGGGCAGCAGATAAGGTCAAAAGGATATATGGGAATGGGAAGACCCGAGGCACAAATCTGCTAAGCTCACGTCGGTATAAATACGATTAAATTTAAATGGCATTCGCACGTGACTGATTTTTTTCTCGCACTGTTCAATTTTGATCAGATCGTCCTCATACCCTTTGAACCTACATAGACTATGGCACCCAACGGACTCATCCCGAATGGAACTGCAGAGGCTCCGATCGAGATCTCTGCAGTACCTTCCATCGTTGGTATCAACTTTGGTAACTCATATGCATCTATCGCAGTCTTAACAAAAGTGCGTTTCTTCCTGCTGTCAATCTACAAATCTCACATACAATTTTTTTTGGACGATAGGAAGGCATCGCTGAGTGCATAGCAAACGAAGATGGAGAACGTCAGATCGCTTGTGCTATCGCATTTCAAGGGGAGGAGATGGTATGTGGTAGCCTACTTCGTGTTCATGCCACTTAACCAAGTTTTATCCTCTCAGTATATCGGAAACCAAGCAAGGCACCAGCTAGTCAAAAACTCTCAAAACACTATTACAGGATTTCGTAACCTTCTAGGCAAGAAGTGCGTTGTTCGGTGAATTTCATCATTGCATCCGGTCTGAAGGTATATGGCAGGTTCTCAGAAGTACCACAGGCGGCTTTGTCGGTCTCTGCGCCTGTCATACAACACCCTTCGCTACCCGATACGCCAGCATACAAGGTCAAGGTCCTGCAACCCGCGCCCTTACCTCTTAAAACTACCGCTACCAATACACCTGCGGCATCACAAGTTGCTACCCCACGATCAGAGCCCATCGAGGTTGAGCGCGTCCTAACTGTTTCCGAAGTAACCACAATATTCCTCGGTTCGCTCGTGCAATCTGCTGAGGACTTCCTTGGGAGAAAAGTATTGGGTGCCGTAATCAGCTTGCCCTCGTGGTTTGATGACGCCCAGAGAGAAGCGGTGATAAAAGCTGCAGAGGATGCTGGAGTTCACGTCCTTCAGTTGCTTGATGATGCAGGTGCAGTTGCCGTCTGTACTGCCGCAGGATCAGAGGAAATTTCCTCGGACCGAACACAACTCATTGTCGATCTCGGCGCGTCGTCCCTCGAGCTGTCTCTCCTTTCGGTCCGTGAGGGCCTCGCGTACTCACTTGCAACCATCTCTGACTCTTCTGTTGGTGGCGATGAGATCGACTCGAAATTGATCAAATTCTTTGCAAAAGAATTCACCAAAAAAACCAAAACGCCGTTAACTGTCGCGCCTGCTTCTGATCCCCTTGATAAGCGCGCTGAAGCTAAACTCAGACTCGCAGTTGAGCACACAAAGCGCACGCTTAGTGCGAGTCCTGGTGCTGCTACGTGTTCCGTAGAGTCACTCAAAGATGGTCTCGACTACACCGGTTCCATCAACCGGCTCCGATTTGACATGGAGGTGCGCTCCATCTATGACAAGGTTTACGCAAAGGTGAAGGAGCTTGTCGCGAGCGCAGGGGTGGATTTGTATGACGTTGATGAGATTGTGTATATCGGCGGTTGCGCTTGCTTGCCAGGCCTGGATGAGACCTTAGCAGAAGGTTTCACCGAAAACGTCATTACGCCCTTCAAGGCAGGCACTGTCGCTGGCGGTGGTATCGGCGACCCAACCACTATTCTGGCACGTGGATGTGCCCTCCAAGCACAATTGCTTGTTGGCCTTGCTGGAGAAACCGAGGAGGTTCGCCAGGCATTCATCAAGGGCAATGGAACTAGCAGCGTCAGCGCTACGAGCCGTACTATCGGCCTTCTGGTTCCTCAGCTGTCTGCAGAAGGCGGCTTGGGTGGAGTGTGGGTTCCTCTCATTTTGAAGGAGACGCCTTTACCATGCAGGCGCACTGTCACTGTGGAGGTGGATGTCAGTGGGTCTGAAGATCGAGTTGGCTTCGAGTTCTGGGAAGTCAGCGAGGGCGTTAGGGTCGAACATGTCAAGCCACAAAAATTCGAAGACGATGAAGACGAGCCCCAGGATGAGGAGGAAGAAGAGTTGGAGGTAAAGGAGAAGACGATCTCAAAAGAAGCATTCTTAGCTTCATTATCACTTTCGCGCTCCAACCCTTCCAAGGGCAAGACGAAGGTGCAAGTGCAGGCAATCATTAGCGGCAATGGTGCTGTAGATCTCAGTATAAGGGAGGTGACGAAGAACGGACTGGGAGAAGCTGTGACGGTGACAGTGGGATCTTCATGATGCATTTTACCAGGCAGGTGTAGACAGACTTTTCTACTGGATCTCACCGATATCCTCGTTCCATTCCTGCACATAGATCGTCAATTAGCAAACGTGCCATCCGTAATAGACCATCATGACGCACCTCCGGTTTTTCGACAATGAATTTCTTCATGAGCTCCTTGCATTCTGCATTATCAACCACTATGACCTCGACGCCTTGGCTTTTCAGCAGCTCTTCTCCCCCCACCCAGTTCTCATTCTCTCCAATAACGACACGCGGAATCTTGTAAAGTATAATTGCACCTGTGCACATAATGCAAGGACTATTGATGCGGTGAGTCATGAGCAATTGATAGAACTAGCGACGCATGACGATCACCCCACCTCAAGGTCGTGTACTTTATTCACCAAATATCAGTAAGCAACCCCATACACATCGCTCGGAATCTCACCATCGTACATCCTCTATAAACTTGTGCCTTAAGTCTCCCTGCATCCTCCAAGGCAGCTATCTCCCCATGCAACGTAGCCGATGACTTCTGAATGCGTGAGTTGTGCGAGCATCCTAGAACAACTGCATCTTTTGGATCCGTTGAAGACCCGTGATACACAAGGGCAGCGCCAATCGGGATCCCTCCTTCTTGGTAACTCTTGCGTGCCTTTGCTAAAGCTGTAGAGAGTCCGAGCTTATCTATGCCGTCCATGGAGTGGTCTTGGGGCAAGCTGCTGTCCGCATTCCGTGTCCCACGTCCTGACATTAATATTGATATTGATCATGGGATCAAGAACTTTGGAATTGTAGAAGAAGACATATCCAAAGTGCCAGCATGCTCCACAGCCCTGATGGCTCAGTTGGTTAGAGCGCAGGTCTCATATCTTATATATGACCGAGTGTATTCGGGTAATCCTGAGGTCGCAAGTTCGAACCTTGCTCAGGGCAAGCTTTTTGGCTTGTATTTGATCAATGTCAAGTTGCACTACATCGTATACTTACAAGTGCCTGAGTTTCAGGCTGGTGCGGGTGACCGCAACGGGTCTCGGGAAGTATACCAATATTGTTTCCTTTGAGACTACAAGGGCATCAACAAATTACAAGACCCCTCAATTTATATGTGCTGATTGTATTGGATAGTAGTCCCGCGCTATTTCACGCGCATGACTTATGCTTATTATCGATAATCTACTCCAATCTATTCTAGTTCGAGACCCTGAAACAATTAACGAGACTGTAGTCTGATTAAACAAGGAAGTAGTGCCAACATACTCAGGCTGTACGTGTATTGTTCTTTTTCATTGCCAGGTTCACAAAAAAGCCCCACAATTAAATACAGATGCTGCTCTATCCATGAATCATTAAACATCGTCCTCTATAAAGATAGGTTCCACATCCTTCCAAGGCTGCCTGCCTCCCATAGCCCACACCTTCTCTCTCTCTACCCAATATTCCAACCTATTCCCAACCCTCGACGGCGCCCACACCCTCTCCCCAGTATCCTCATCCGTCTCCGCCCTAAACCATCTAGGTCGATGCGGCGGCACGCGCCCCTCCTCCCTTGCACGCCGCGTCGCTCGTTGCCGCTCCTCTTGCTGCATCTTCAGCCCATTCGCAAACTCATACTTCCCCATCTCAAACGCCCGTTGATCAGGTCGCAGACGGCAGTCTGTCGGGCACAAGTATGGCCTTAGCGTTTCATCGGGGCAGTCATTCAGCGTGACGGCGAACGGCGTGAGGTTGAAAGGTGCGGTAGGCTTTTCGGAGTTACGCCAGAGGAGGATGTACTCTGCGGCGTAGTTTGGCGAAGAGGGCCCACTTACAGTAGCGTCAGGGTGTAGGAAGCCGCTGCCTGTGCCGACGGCGCGACATATGAGCTGGCTGTTCCACCGTCCAGCTACCTCGTGGGTTACTTCTCCGTCTGCGTCTCGCACGACACCAGTGATTTCGTATGCGTCTTTACCCCGCCATCCTCTCGGCTTGAATGTCAGTACACACTGGTCGCCAGTGCGATGATTCGTGACCTGTAGTAACGTAGCTTCAGTTTTGACGCATGACGAGGAACAAAGAGCGAATCACTCACGATCATGTCACCATAGTGATCGATAGTGGGAGAGCCTAAGATGAACCCGGAGACGTTGGTAGTGACTTTCTTCCACGAGAAGTGCTCGACGACCTTGCCCTGGATGCCAGCAGTAGTACACTTGGGGTAGTCGGGCGCCCACTCTTCAGGAAGAAGAAGTTCAGCATGCGCAACGCCAGTAGGACGAATCTCGAAAGATTTTCCCATAAATTTATTTTGTGCGTCGACCTGGTGTGGATAAGTATCAGTGGATCATGTGAAACAACAATGTAACGAACCTCTCCATAATAATGCCAATACGGCGATTCTGCCCAACAAGCTGACATGGGGGGATGATGACTGACTTGCTCAGATACGTAGCGATACTCCTTGTCGAGTCTGACATATTCGAATGTTTCACTCTGGATAGGTTGAGCACTTGACTACATGAAAAGCATGAAAGGTACATACAAGCATAGGATTAAATGGTTTAGCTATACGACCGATGGTCGATGAATAATTTGACATTGCAAACGCGGCCACAAATGCTAAACGCCGGTGAGGGTCTTGCTCCCGGGCAGCGACATGGACTATCAACCATTGAGTTACGATGACCAGCGATCACATAAATGAGATACTTACGACACTCCGAGAACTCCATGTCCTCCGCCTTCACTCAAATAAGACAGTGTGTACATATCCATTAGCCAAAGACAACTCACCATCCGCTGCAACATACTCGTCGGCTCATTAAACATGACGGGAAAACTAATCCTCGTCAAATCCTTTCCAATGCTGTGCTTCAGCACAGACCACAGACTCGTGCTTGGCCTGTTATCCGACCCGATAGGTAACCGCGTCCTCAAATTTTGATAGCCTGCGAAATGTTCCTTGTTCATGAAGGACAACGCAGGTACCATGTGCATCGGGCTAGAGAGCAGTTGGCTGACGAGGAGATTGGGAAGGGCATTAGCCTCGATGGCATCGAAGAATTCATCTTCCTCATCTGTGTCGACGGCGTCTTCATCCTCCTGATCTTGCCGTGGTATACGCTGTGCAGTCGGCGTGACCCCTGCACTCGTGGGTGATGATGGCATAGTCAATGTGGACAGGCCGTTGACTTCCTTAGGCGAGGAGACAGTAGTGATTGGTGCAGGGCGCACCAAGGGTGAGGAATAGGGTTCTTCAAGCACAGGAGATACAAAGGCCATGGTCGCAGGGCGCGGTCGGAATATGCCGCCACCTGCATCGTTTATACCAGCATCGAAGAATCTGCTGCCTCGTTTCCGAGACCGCATGCGCAGCTCTTGTTCCAGGACTTCGCCCTCCCGCACGACAGTTTGTAAGCTCTCTTCCCACACAGTCTGTCTCTCACGCTCACGCTGTAGTTGAGATTTCCACCACTCCTCACGGTCCTTGGCCATCTGGATATACTCATCTATCATCGTTTGTACGATCGCGAACGACTCCCTGAGCGCTGTGCGGAGTTCTTGTGTCCTGGGCGCCGCATCTGGTGGTAGTGCGAGGTTAGACAGAAGCTGGGTAGTGAGTTCCATCTGTGCTGCAGCCGAATTCCCTTGTAAGTCAAAAGTCGCATTGTGAGGAGGCGACTGCGTGAGGACCGAGGTTGAAGAATTATAATTGCGCTCTTCATTTTCCGAGGTAGAAGGGCTTTTAGCTACCTTGCTCGTCTCAGGAGGTAGCCCATCCTCTATGCTCTCATCTGTTATACCCATAAAGGAGCTTTGTGACCCTCCGCCGCGAGTACCCGCATCCATTCGCCGCCCTGATATCACCGACTGGAAGCTCGTACGCAGACTCTTGGGCTTCAAAGCATTCAACTCGCTTTCCCCGCTCTTTCGCGGCACTTGCTCATCGCGCCGCGCCCATTGTATACTCTTCCCAAGGGCCTGGGTCCACCCAGCAGCCTCAACGTGATGATTAGCACGCATGTACCATTTTTGCCCAGTGGTATGTCCTCGAGATGGGGTCGAGTGGATCTCGAACCGCGTCTTGTCGCCGCCAGGCGAGGTTTTGAGGATGGCAGTTTTCATGGTGATGGCACCGCGGCTAGCTATGCCTTCGTCTTCTTGGTGCCGGTAATCTACAGGAAGTTAAGCGCCATAAATAGACACAAGAGGTGAGAGATAACGGACATGAGAATACACCATCTTTTAGAACAAACCATCTAGTATTATAGCCCTTAGCGACATTGGTATATTTACTGAGATAACCCTTCATAACAGGAGGTTCCGAAGACGGGACCTCAATAAGAGAGGTATCATGGTTTGCAACTGTCGTTGTTTTGAGCACAGTGGGTAAGGGAGCGCGTAAGAAAAACGTACACTGTCGCAAGAATACCCGTACGTGATCATCTTTTCCTGCTCCCTCGTATGCCATTTTCCCCCTGCGGTCTCGCACAAAAACGCTCGCCCCTGCTCGCACGGCTAGTTCAATGAGGCGCAGGTTTTTCCGCCTGGCTGCCTCGTGTAGCAGAGAAGTGCCAGATGCATCGTCCAAGTACGACAAATCAAGTCCACGTGCCCGTGGTGATTCCAATAGAGCCACCAATGCAGCATTTGGGGGTGCATCCATGGGTGATAAAATATACGAGCGTAAAAGCGACCTGTATGAGGCGTTCAAAAAAGAACGTGAATCTAAGAGTGGCGTTAGTGAAGAAGGCACAGAAACAGAGAGGGAGTACGTACCTTCTAACGTTTGGATGACTTCTTTTAACTTTGCCACATCTTTGCATGTTTTTTCGTTGTTATCACGGAGGGTGTCGTCAATGCCAGCCTGGTCGAGCAACACGCCTACAATGTCTGCACGACCGAGGGACGCTGCAAGATGCAGAGGGGTGGTCCCAGAACCTGGTGGGTGCACGCCATTGGGTGATATCGCTCTATGAGATAGGAGTAGCTGTACGGTACCGACTTCGGTTACGGGTGAGGGAAGGCGGGAGTAGCAAGCAAAAGCGATGACCTACCAGAAGCGCATCGTATAGCGAGGTGGAGGGCAGCAGCTCCAGTGTTAATGTCTCCATCGACAGAGTTTCGTCTTTCCTTGCCAATTTCAGCAAGAAATGGATGTATGAGAGCAGGATCACCTGTGGAGAGGGTTTGCTATGAGGTGGGAGAAGGGAGAGGTGGTTTCTTACCACTCCGAAGTGCCGACAGTAGTTTGACTTGATGAAGGGGTTCTGTGACATCTACTGCTCATAAATGACTGAATCCAAGCCCAAGAAACTGACGAACTGACCGGACCTGAGACTACGAATCGAGAGGGAGGAGCTCATCATATGTCCACAGCAATTCTGCACCCGTAAATTCAAAATCCAGAATAGTTTGGTGTGTGCAGTCCTTGCGTGAAATGAGGGAGGAAAGTAGTTGAGAAGAAGAAAGCGAGCTAGATGTATTCAAGAAAGTCACGGTGACCAAGTACTGCTGCAGCTTGCTCCCCACAGAAGCACCGAGTCACGTGTCACTCACATGTTCTACCCCACTGAGCTTGCAGCTGTGCTGCTTGCCCTGCCACTATGATACGATTGACCATATATATAAAGGCTAGTAGCGCCGCAGGGTAGCACTTGCGCTTGTTTTTTCAGAGCTGCGAAGCGCCGATAAGACGTAAGGACACCTTCTTCGACTCTCGTTAATTCCTAGCACTATTCAAGCAGCCGCATGCTCATACTTGAGGTATTCCCATGTTCATTTTTGCTATCTTTATCATACCGCTATCGCTGTCTAATAGGCGACATCTCTGCCTGAGATACCAGCCTGAGGGGCCTATATAAAGTATAATTTTAAAGTGGGTTCCTTTCCAGCCGCCTTCCGTTCATCTATTCACGCCATATTAATGAGCAATAGTTTCTCTTCTCCAGACAAGGAGAAAGCCTTTGAGGTTGATGTTGGTTCAGGAGAGCGCGCAAGCAGTAATGACAGCTATACACCACCACCAGACTTCACACTTCACCGAGAGCTTAAAAATCGTCATGTTGCGATGATAAGGTATTTGTCTGTCAACCTTTCTGACTTCAATGACTGAGTCACTACTTTTTCAGCATTGCCGGCGTCATTGGCACGGGATTGTTCCTCGGGACCGCGTCGGCACTCATGAATGGCGGTCCTCTAGGCCTTTTATTAGCTTACATATTCGTTGGGTCTATATCTTATTGTGTGATGGTCAGTCATGTATATATTTCCCGATTTTATCCTTCATTGTTTTGTTACTAGATCACCATCGGAGAGATGATCTCCTATCTCCCAATTGCCGGTGGTCATATCAAGCTTGCCGAGCGCTTTGTTGATCCAGCATTCTCATTTGCATTGGGATGGAATCTATGGTACAATTGGACGGTAATGTGACCCTTTGCTTGATGTTTCAAGTTTCTGGATGTTACTCTCCCATCAGGTAACATTGCCAGGTACAGTCTCCGAATCATCTCCCAACGAACGCCGTTGATTATATCCAAGCCGAGTTGTCTGCAGCCGCTACCATCATAAATTTCTGGCATCCTGGTGTAAGCAACGCAGTATGGATAACAATGTGTCTCGTTGTTGCCATCGGGATTAACATGAGTGGCGTTGGTAAATGTTCACACTATTTGGCCTCTCTTCTACTTCAATTTTCACTGCAGGTGTGTATGGTGAAACCGAGTTTATTTTGCGTAGGGTTATCTTCCCCCTAAGTTATTTTCTTTGCCTGACGCCAGGGGCGAATCAGCTCTATCAAGGTTGTTACGATTGTTGGTCTCATCATCTTCGGGATCATCCTTGACCTTGGCGGTGGCCCGAACCATGATCGTATCGGATTTCGCTACTGGAAGGACCCTGGCCCATTTGTCCAATTTTATGGCATAAGTGGCATGACAGGTCGTTTTCTAGGCTGGTCTCGTGCAGTAACGCAAGCTGCATTCGCATATTCTGGGTTAGAAGTCGTGGCTGTGAGTCGTGACGGTCTTCCTTGGATCTTTTGAGGTTGAGACAGACCAGATGGCGGCTGCAGAATCCAAGAACCCGCGCAAGAATCTCCCCAAGGCCATCCGTCGTGTTTATATCCGGATCCTACTATTTTATATTGGCGGCGTATTTGTTATCGGTCTCCTGGTACCTTCGAACAACCCCTTGCTGAACGTAAACTCTGATAACGCTTCTGCGTCTCCGTTTGTAATTGCAATTAACCAAGCTGGCATCAAAGGATTACCCTCAGTAAGTGTTGTGTTATACAATAATGCATTTCTCATACCTCTGTAGGTGATCAACGCCGCCTTACTGACATCAGCCTGGTCCGCGGCTTCCAGTAACCTTTACATTTCCTCCAGAGGCCTGCGTGAGCTTCAGTCTATGTCTACAGCACTGTATCCAATTTAATCTGCTTGCAGATGGCCTCGCCGCCTCCGGCAATGCCCCAAAGGTATTCCTTCGTACCTCGCGGTCTGGACTTCCCTACGTCGCAGTAGCCATATGTGCTTCTTTCTCTCTCCTCGCCTACATGGCGGTCAACACGAGCTCCGGAATGGTCTTCACGTGGTTCTCTAGCATGTGTGCTACTGCGGGCCTCACGACCTGGTTCGGCATCGGTGTCATCTATCTGCGCTTCCGCAAAGGCTTCCTTGCCCAGGGGCACAAGATGAGCGAGCTCCCGTACTCCTCTCGGTTTCAGCCCTTCGCCGCCTGGTGGGCCATCGGCGCATCGCTTGTGACGTTGTTGGTGAGTTTGACTTTCGGATGTGTGATATAATGAAGCGATTCTTGGGCTTATGGCCTCCAGTTCAGTGCATGGGAGGTATTCCTGAGAGATAACTGGTCAACAGCGACTTTCATGACAAATTATCTGCCCATGATGCTTTTCCCCGTTTTATATGTCGGCGCCAAAATCTGGAAGCGAATCCCTATTGTGAAGCCGAACGAAATGGATTTCCACTCTGGCATCGCAGAAATCGAGGCAATGACGTAGGACTCTTTTATTTGCTTGTGAAGTATAAGCCAGGCTGAGATGCTTGTCACAGGCATGCAGACGTGCTCCCGAGGAATATCGTGGAGGCAATTTGGATGAAGCTTGTGAGTTCTCTTTCGGTGATGGTGGTCATTGGCTGGTTTGCTCATTCTTCGAATAAGACGTGATGATTGAGTTCCATGTTGACCGATATTGTATTGCGAGCCTGCAGAGATGTGATTTAGATCTTATGACAGTTGGAATTTAACGGAATATGAAAACCGACATCCCTGAAATAAGATGGTGTATGCTGGGGAACGCCCCCTCACATGACTTTTCCAATCAATTTCGAAAATCAACCACTCAAGGTCTTTGCCGTGACGATCCTCTTAATTGTAGGTGAGTAGAGCGCACGTGTAAACCTTTGACACAGCTCTGTAAAAGCCATGGAGGCTGGGAAGTCCACCCACAGTCAACATGCACACTCGTGAACTTGAAGAGGTTGGGATTGCTGTTGAGACTGCGTAGAATCTTAAAGCATCCTTCGCGTGGACACCTCTCTCGACCGAGCCTCGTGATGCATAATAATCCAGAAATTATCTTGCCTGAAGACGTTGCTGCTGAATTCGCGGCTCTTGACGAGTTAAAGAGGACTGAAGAATGTCAGAATATTAACGGTGTCGGAGTGCTCAAGGGAAATGCTTTTGATTTTGACGAGTTCGATCGCGTCATTGAATAATACCATTAGCTATTCTAGATGAGGTTGAGCTCGTTGTTAATTACCACGACGAGGACTCGGATGAATGGGACGAAGCCATAGATGTCGATGTTGTCGTTGGGAGTGTCGACACAGCCTGATTAGTACCAGTATCGACGAGATCTCGGACTGGTCACGAGCCCAAGTTCTTACGGCTTGATGATCACAGACTCATGAATTATCAGAGCTTGCCGATTGGTGGAGATCGTGGTAGCAATGAGAGGCAATGAGGTAAAACATACAGAGCTCATTTTGATGCTGTACAGATTGATAGGTTGTGTCAGACAAGATTACTATTATAGGCTAGGTTTCTGAATTCTCGCACTGTGACAAATATATACAAACACGTGTTGCGCGGTTTCTCTTTATGCGAAAGTAAGTAGGCGTAGCTACTTACTTATAAGTTTGGAGCGCAAAGATCTGTTTTTAGAATGGTGACCTCGCCGAGTTGACCTCCATTACAATGTTTTCTGAACCGACGATCCTGTGCCACGATCAATCTAACGAGTCATCAAGAACGACAAGAAGATCTACGTGGAGCCGAAAGCACAGGTCCAATTTATCCGCGCAGGTATTCAATCCGTGTTTGTATGTAAGTACTAAGTCAGCGTAATCATGCACACTAATCTGACCGTACCCATCGCACATCACAGTAAGTCAATGCCTCTCTGTTCTGGGGTACTTGACATGTTGCAAAGTAGCGGGGTGTCTGAATCGTGACTATCAACAAGCCAGACCATTTCAATGGCGATTATCATCCCCGCGTGCACCTTTGTCATTATCTTAGCCAGCGTCTGGATAGTGAAACAACGATACCAGGCCGCAAGACGGTTGCCGTTACCGCCTGGACCACCTGGACGTTGGCTATTAGGAAATACGATGCCAAAGTCACAGTGAGTCTTTTGTCAAGGGACACCAACGCGATCTCCTATCTAACCCCTCACGCAGTGTGCCGTTTCAATTCGCGAGATGGACAGGAACATTATGGGCCTGTGTTCTCGCTCAAACAAGGCCATAGGATTTTCGTAGTTATAGGAAGTCATCAGGTCAGTATAAAACAATCCATTGTCTATCCAGGCATGGAGTGAGTCTCGTCATAGGCTGCGACAGATATCATGGAAAAAGAGGGAGCAAATCTTGCCGACCGCCCGCGTTCTATTGCAGTGCAAGAGACGTTGTCTGACGGGTTGGGAGTGCTGCTTCAGGGCTCTGGTGAAAGGTTGCGTCGGCTGCGCAGGTACACATCTTGTCTCTACCAGGTGATCACCGAGACTGAATGTAAAGCAGGGTCTTGCATGCAGGCTTGCAACCCAAAGTTGCAGAGTCCTATGAGCCCATCCAGACGAGACATGCAAAGAATCTGGTTCTAGATGTCTTGAATGATCCAAAGAACCACCAAGGTCATGCCATGCGGTACGAACACCAGCTCTTGCTTGCGCGATACAGGTTGTAATCCGAGGATTTAAGTTATTCAGCTTCGGTGGTCATGTCCTTCACCTATGGAAAAACTACTCCGACTTCATATGCAGATCCTGAAGTCGTCGCCGTCAATAAGGCTCTTGCGCGTTTTGGTCAAGCTATCAGGCCGGGAGCATACCTTGTGGATACGTATCCAATCCTGCGTTTCGTTCCTGGCTACCTGAGTCAGCTGAAGGCATGGCAGAAAGAAAACCTTGCTCTCTATGACAGGCAGTTGGACACGGTGCGAAGGCAGATGGTTTGTGATTTTCTTGTGATGATAGATATGCTGCCTCAGCACTGTGAAGCGTGAGGGGAATACAAGGCCATCCTTTGCGAGGTTCATGTTAGAGCACCAGAAAGAGTACCAGCTCGAAGACAAGGACTTGGCATACATTGCAGGAGCGATGTTTACGGCTGGTTCTGATACGGTAAGTTCTTACATTGCATCGCGTCTTAAGTTGACAGCTGTTGTAGACTGCGTCCGCAATCACAATCATGATGATGGCTGCTGCCACTCATACAGATGCGCAGGCTCGCGTACAAGAGGAACTCGATAACGTCGTGGGGCGTATGCGGCGTAATTCATGCATTTTCTTTGTTTGTCTGCTGACTGAGATGGCTCCTGATTAGTGCCGACGTTTGGTGATCAGGAAATGCTGCCGCAGGTTACCGCGTTCATGCTCGAGAGTCTCAGGTGGAGACCTGTCAGTCTTGGAGGTACGTCTTTTTGAGTTGTGACAACGCGATGATGGACGGCCACCTTGCACTGCAGGCTTTGCGCATCGCGCAACTAAGGACATCATTTGGAAGAACTACCTCGTTCCGGCAGGTGCGACTGTTATTGGCAACCATTGGTCAGTACGCAATCATTTTCGTCCTTTCACCTTTGGGTCTGACGCTCGTGCTTCAGGGCTATCGCAAACGACCCTGAGGTCTTCTCAGAACCACACAGGTTTAATCCCCAGCGTTGGATCGACGATGCAGGTCGTGTGCGCAGTGATCTCCGGTTTTTCACTTTTGGCTTTGGCCGTCGGTGAGTGATATCGTTCATCTCTCAACCATTTCTTATGCGTGACCAGAGTGTGTCCTGGTCAACATGTCGCGAATCGGTCGGTCTTCGTCAACACGGCTCTTATCTGTGGGCTTTCCGCCTTTCGGAGAACCCTGCAGCGAAGATTGACACACTTGCATTCTCGGACACTGCAAACATACGTGCTGCTCCGTTTGAGATATGTTTTGCGAAGAGGATCGACGAGAACGTGATCAGGGAACTATGCGCACCGGGCAAATAAGAGGCGTTTATTCTAGAAACTTGAATCTTTGTGCAAAGGAATTGGTCTTGCGTTTTGGAGTCTTTTCGTTGTCTGTCCAACTCAAACTCGTCGTTACACCTAACTTTGTATATCTTCAAACAGGCACAATTGTAATCATGAACTGGCTCCCCTTGGTGTTACCACGCATCATGTATCTCTCGATACACTGCGATAGTCTCCAAGTCGCGTGGCTGATCATGAGCCATTTACAGACAGCCCCCGGACAAAATGAAGTATAGTACTCAAGTGCTATCATATGCCATTCAATTATTCCGCCACCACCCATGCACTTTCTTTTTCTAGCTGGCCCAAACGAAGAGCAGACAACTTAACTTTGCTCTCAAAGTTGACGTGTTTCATTGTATACTTCTCACTCTCATGGTTCCGGTCATGGCAGCCTTTAACGCGGCTGACAGCCTCATCGGCTCTAATTTTTATTTTTATTTACCTTCACTTCGAGGCACCTACGCTGAAGCACCTTAAGCCATGTGACATCCCTAGCTTAATTCTGACTCGGCACTTCAAAGGTGAAATCAATTCGCACAACCTGATCTTTCAGAACATGCCTGTCCTTCAACCCTTTAACAACTGATCTTCTACGATCCTCCGCAAAAACCTGGTTTATGTATATTCATGTTGGAGTCCGAGAGAATGGACGTACCCGGAGATGAGTGACCTTGGACGACGGGCACAATTAAGCCATCCCCGACCGAACGAACCTTTTCGTATGTCTCAGTCTTATATATCTTGTCTCTTACTCTCCCCGTATGATGAAACTATGTTGTCGATCTGGGAATGTAAGTGATCGAAAAATGGACCTTTCAGGTCTTCAAAGCTTCAGGCCTCAGGTGTGATCTCGCGGCGAAGGTGGCTGAGTCTCAAGATACAACCACATCTACAGGACTCTTGCAATATTCGTGATGAGGATTTCCGGGACCACAATGCCCCACATCATGACGGTGGAACGGATGCTACACATGTATGCGTTCGAGGTAAAGAATCTACAATCCTGGACCCATTCTCATATGACGAGATATCATTGGCTTAGAGATCCCTTGCAACATCTGCAACGACATGCGGGACACAAGCCTAGAAACTTGTGCTTCCGCTTTACCTGTCTCTTCACAGGTGCTGGTGGTGAGATTGGAGAAGATGGAAGGAGAGAATCGCCTAAACTTTTCTGCTTCATCTTCGTTGGACATGGTGACTTGTTGGCTTTCATTGAACTGTGCGCGTGATTTATGAACGGAGTGCTTACTAGTAGAGACAGACTGTGTGGGTGCTCTTATGTAGTTGTGTTACTGAGAACGAGAAAATGTCTGCTTGGTTGCAAGCAGGGCCCTGATAGTGATCCCGACCTGTGCAAGAGTGAGTCGAGGTGAGCTGCTATTCCCACATTAGTAGGAATAAATGCGACGTACCAAATTGAACGTTGAATCCCTTGTAGGAGCCTGCAAGGGGACGCATCGAGGTGAGGCTACATGAGACAGATAGTAGCAAAGGTAGTAAGAAGGCATCCGTGTGAGCATAAGTGCGGGCATCTGCGTCAATGCGGGGATCCGTGTCCATGCAAGAGTTTGCGTCAGTGCAAGCGCCTGCGTCAATGCAAGTATCCGCGTCCACGAAAGTGCGGGAATCCACATGCGCACGGCAGCAGGTCTCTGCAAGGACGGTGATCACGCTCGCCAGTGGTAGAAGGTGTCATTGTGACTTGATGAATGATTCCTCCCCTTATTAGGTTTGCCGGTGAGGAACCTGACGAGTTCACAACGGTGAACTTCCTACACGAGTGAGCTTGAGAGAGTCGGTGTGCCTGTGCTACTCGTGCCCGGCTTCCACACCAGACTTGTCTTCGTTGCACAAAACGATCTGGGCTGTTGAAGCTTACCGGAGTTTGTAGCAGAAAAGAAAATCCGAAAGGAGGACAGGGCACCGGAGCTTGCTAGAATTAACCTGCCAATGGGCGTAGGCAGAGAAGAGAGCCCACATACTGCACAGCCGCTGCACGAAGTTCTCTGTTACATTAGGATTTTGCCGCATCACTGCCGCATCTGTGCCGCACCCTACACAACAAGTGTCTGTCAGTCAACCACAAACCACAAGCCATGAACATCATCAGCGAGGCACAACAGCACGCTCATCCTCGCACATGTTAAGTACTTCCATGTACTACCCTCCTTGGCCGTGGCCGTGGTTTGGGCTTTTTGGTATGTTTCTCTTTCTTAACGACTTCGGGCTCACTTCCTTCACTAAAGTTCGGCCCACACTGTTGACCGGCACTGTTTTAATGCAACCTGCCGCTGTGAATATGAAAACAACGCACATCCAGTTCCCCTTCGAATTCTGGTGCATACGGATCTCGGTCACCATGATTCCAGTGCTCGGGGAGACCCTCATATGGGTTCCATCGGTCTTGGTGCGTGCCAGCATCTTTTCCCCATTGTTCATTCCCTGCACCTGCGGCCAACGAGAGTTCGAACATTCGCTGTTCGAGTATACTAAGGCACTCTAGATCAACGTCGACATCCATCGCGGACATATCATAGCTGAGTTGGAGGTCAAGCCAGGCCGCCTGGAGTATCGCATTTGCTTCCTCTTCGAGAGTAGGAAGTGACTCGGAGTCCATGTCAAGTGGTGCTAAGCGACGTTCAGTCAAAATATTTTCAGGCCGTCTCCTAGAGTTGATTCCTCTTCCGTTTTGCAACTACAATAGTGCACGCATGCGCATAGGTAGCACAGTTTAGCCAATTGACAATTTGTTTGGATGCACCAGGGATGTGATGGTAGACCCAGTTCGCAATCTGAGCACAGTCTATAAGAGACAGATCACCACAATATGGCACAGTAGTCTGCTTGCGACCCGTTTTCTCCGATAGGTCGGCAAGGTACCCAAGCACTGGGACTGCATTGCGCATCTTTGCAGGATCAGGCTGCTCAAAAATATTTGTGAGGAGTTGACTGTGAGGAGCCAATGCTTCGTCGATATTAAAGCTGTAGGGAATGTGTCTAAAGTTTGCGATGACATCTTCATGCTGGGGAACCTCGCGCGCATGTGTCCATCTGCCAAGCTATCATTTGGATGTTAAAGTCTGCTATTGAATCTAAGAGTTGTACACACCCGAATCATGCGACGACGTTTATGATCCCCGTAGAGTGCATCAACTAATCTGCAATAATATCCTTGCCTCAGCTCTTAGTGAACACCTTTTTCCTCTCATGGTCCACCCTGGCCATATTCAGAAGCACCGGAGAGATGGTTGCAACTGACTCATGTAGTCCATCGATGCCCGGGCGGCCCATCACAAGCTGTGCTGCACTCATGTGGGGGTGCTCCTTGATGACTTGCCGGAAGTGATGTGATTCCATTTTCGTCAGATGCAGTCGTCGTGGTGGGCGAATGTGGTGGTGAAAGCCTCGATGAACGAAGCATACACCTTCTGAAAATTTGAAAAGATCATAAATTATACCACAATTATTATGGACGAGCATGGCACCACAAGAGCATGATGCCTTAAGCTGTTTGGCAATGAGTTTCTTGGTCGTAGTAGGACGGACAACAATAGCACACGATCCACCCTTGGATTCATGGTTGGCACATACAATGATGCCATTGCAGCGTCGACGAGTACGCACACCTTCCTGCCACTCTAGGGCATCAAGCGAGCCTCTACGTTGCTTTCGAGGCGCACCTAGACCCTCGCAAGCCCAGTGGACATGGAAATCATTGACCTCGGGTCGTTTGGCATCTTCGCGTGAGTAAATTCGTGTGATGTGGCCATCAGGCCAGACGTTCCATTCGATATCGCCACTAGTAGGTGCCTGGGGTTGGTGGACAGCAGAGGCGCGTGCAGTTGGATCAGTCGAGTCAATACCTTAGATAGATTAATCACAGCTCCAGCCTTGAGCATGCTGATTGTACTTACTAGTAGCAGGTGGCTTTTGTAGGTTTTGTCTAGGTGGCTCGTCGATCATGCCCGTAGTTGAACTGCTGACCTGAGAAGGGATTGGCCAATTTGTACGAGGCTGATCTCGCACAGGCTGTGGAGGCGCTGGGGGGTGTTGCAAAGGCAGAGTAGGGTGAACATCTAGGGTATAGTGCTGCGAGGCAGGCTGTGAAGTCACTGGTGGGTATTGCAGGGGTGGTGTAGTGTGAACACCCGAGGTATAGTACTGCGAGTGATGTTCTGATTCAAAGACACGGACGGAAACTGGAGGCACCGAGTCAAGGCTTGGCGCAGTGAAAGAGAAAGACCAAAATATACTCACCATCAACACGGACATGTTCATTGGGTGTAGCAGCGCGAGGTTGCGCGGTCACAGTTTCTGTGTGACTGAAACCTGAGGCTGGAGAACATCAGGACGCAGGCCTCTGAGTGGTCATTAGGTCACTTACGTTTCTTGACCTGAGAGGGGCTATGGGACACTCCAGAAGTATCAAGCTGCGAGGCGTCACACTTGCATGGGTTCCTGGGCTGAAATAAGTTACTGATAAAGCTCTGGTGGGTGTTATCATGATGCAATCAGCACAATTCAAGAATTAAACTTGACATCAACATACCGGAATCATTCTCATTCAGGCGAGCATGGAGTTAGAAGCAGGATGGGACAACGAGCGTGATATTGTGAGCATAAAAAGGGATGTGTTATCAAAAAAATATGCTAGCCCAATATTAGTGGCTGTGCCGCATAGTGTGTTGCGACATGTGTCTGACTCAGAGGTCTGAGTCGTATATAACAGATTGTAACTAGCAGGTGCCTGTCGAGAGTGACAGGTCATTGTAAAGTGGGTGCTCTAGAATCTATATATTCTGAATGTCATTGTCTCGTACTATATTACTAGGACTCACTGCTGCCGCGCCCACTACCGCATTCATGCCGCAACACGCCCAACACGTCCTCTAAATTCAACCTCTCAAAGGCATGTCCGAGAGGCGCATAGTTGATGAGTTCGTTGAGTAATACTGCTATGTCGATTAGCTTGTGTATGATAAGAGTAGTTGTCGGAAATGAGCGTTAAATGTATGTTTCGGTGTGGTGCGAGTGATGCGGTAGTGGTGCGGCAAGTTGCGGCAGTGACACGGCAAAATACCTGAACCCATTCAAACCCAGTCCGTCTATTATCGACGAGATCTTGGACTGGTCACGAGTCCAAGTTTTCAAAATTTCACGGCTTCGACTCATGAATTCCAACACTGTATCATCCACTGTATCAATGCAGTCCAACTGTTCAAACGTGCCGCTCGAGCTGCCGACCCAATGTTCAACTCGTGATAGACATGCAACTTATGTCAAAATTTATTCTAAAACACGAAGGTGAGTCATCATTCATGTAGTTGAATCCTGGTTGCACCACTTGCTCATACTACTCACGTCCTGTGCACAATGTTCGGGCAGTAATCCGTATCTTTTGTGCAAGTCCATCCAGATTCCGCTGCACTGCCAGCCATAGATTTTGTCAAAATTGGGAAGAAGGAGAAACGCACTTTTTGCAAGGTGATAGTATGGGATGTTCTGAGGGGGATCTCTGACTCGGAGAATGGAGTAGAAAGACGACCAGTTTTTATATCCTCCGTATACTAACGGATATGATTTCGATCATGATTGTTATTGCTGTCAGATGCAAGAAATTTCGGCAGAACCCGCAAGAGCTTATTCAATCGATTATGCCAACTATTGTATCATAAACCGCTGTTGCTGGGTTTATACTGTGTTGGGTGTGTAGCTCATAAGGGCACGCGCGCTCGTACCTCGGACCATGATATATGTGAGTTCTCCCACGTGAATCACTGATGTTGAACCGTCTCTGAATCCGTATTTTGCCACTCTTTGTGCTCCACTCTTTTGCAATTTGGAAATGGAGATTGCGTGCTGCTGCTGATGGCAAAAAGCAACTGTTTCGTTCTGTGACCTGGCATCATTTCTGCTTACTGAAATTGAAACGCACAAATATTCGACCCGTCCTGGGCAGCTTTACTGTTGAGCTTGTATAAGTTGCAATGCTGTAGTGGTCACAGTTTGGTTCATGGTCCGAATCTCCAATTAGCCGCCTTCTACTTCCATTTTCACCATCTATCTCACATTGTCTTATCTGCTACGCCAATTTTACAGAGTCAGCATTGCTCCTGCGTAAATGAGTTCATTGACCAGTGACTCACCGGTACATCACCATGATACTCTCGAGCTGGCTCTATCACACAGTTGATTCGACTGCAGTAGCGGTCTCACCGACGCCGATCATTCGATTTCAAGTTTAATCATGTCAAAAGGTGACCTATTGTTAGTTTTGTCATGGCGATTACTGATTCTCAGTGCTCACAGAACAAAAGCATTGACCAATAAGCTTTCAATGTGAGAAGGGTTCGGACTGGTCCGGACGGCCACCAGATACAACTCAAATGGTCAACCTAGATATGGTCTGGCCCTGCGTCCCGTGTCGAACCTCCAATCGAACGGCACTGCATTTCGCAAAAATTTGGCTTCGAGATTTTTTTCAGGACTGAATTGCAGTAGCACTTTGACCCTTTCTCAGGGTTTTCATTCGTACAGCTCATCAGTGGCACTGAATACCGATTTAAATTTAAGCATTCAAGATAAGCTATCGACTTCGCTCGTCGACATGACACGGACATACGAGCGGACCGGTGGACCGCTTCTCAGGCTGCGAACCCTAAGTCTGGCCATGGCATCTTACCCAGTCTTACGCCCATAACTGCCAGCAAAGGCAAGGAAGCTTTTACCGTACTTGCATTTAAGCATAATATTTTAAGAAAGATCGACTTCTCCTTTTCATTCCCCCATCTGAATCCAAGACGGGCTGTCTCTGAGCAGGCTCCTTCGACTCGTTGAACAACTCGCGACTCATCCAATCATGGGCAACATCGTCTTCGGGAACTTGCTTTGGATTTCTGTCCAACCGCTTATACGCATGTAAGGATTCTTTTCTAAGTTGCCCTCGCGCTTTTTTCACGCTCGTTGTCATTCCTTCAGGTTCTTGTGCGTAGCATGCGGATTCGGAATCACGAAGGCAGGTTTATTATCCGCCATGGCATCTATCGGGATGGGGCAAGTCATCATAGTCAGATTTTTTTGATTTGAGGCGAGGATGCACGACTGATCGATCAGCAGAATGTTACGATTCCAAGCCTGATGTTCTCGACGATCATACCATCGTTCCACTCATCTAACATGGCTGAACTCGGTGCGATTCTGTGCTTTTTTACGTCTTTTTGACCGAAGTTGTTTCCAGGCCCTCTTGTCATCATTGCGTTGATGAATATGCTGATTGGTATAACGCTGTCGTGGATCATCAAGCAACTCTTTTGGGTTCCTCACAGATTCCGGTATGGAATTCTCATGGTTGGAGGATGGGGAAACACCAGTGATATACGTAAGCTCGCCTGAAGCCCGTTTGCCGTACATCCAGTCTAATACTTGTTTGTATAGCTATATCTGTGGCCACGAGCGTCATGGCAGCAGCTCCTTTCAATGGAACTGATGATGAGAACCTGGCGGTGGGCTACATCGCTGTTTTTATGCTGGTGTGGTCTGTAAGTATATCGGTTATGCAGCTACCTCCACTCACTATAAGGTCCGTAGATCACACTGTTTCCTCTTGGCGGATACCGGTTGATTATAATGGATTACGATGGTCCTGACTTGGACAATGATCGAGTCAAGGAGAGGCTGAGCACCAAACACTCGAAGATTCTGTCGAGACTTACTGCTGGATTCGTCTACCTCAGGCAGATATTTTTCTTCAGCCATTCACCGGTCAGGGAACTTCATACCGAAGTCGGTCAGAATAGTACTGGCGAAAAAGAGTCTCCTCATGCGACGTCCACGCACGAGAACTCTGTCACCACGCGTCATAAACCACCGGAGCAGGAAGAAATTGGAGTATCGACATCGACGAATGAAGAACTGCCTACTTCTCCCTCGTTTACATCAATACTGCCCGGTCCGGCTTTGACTGGCGAAGCCCAGAAAGTCTTCACAACTACTACTGATCTTCCTAACTTGCCCGCTGGGCATGTCGCGGTGACGCATGTTCATTGGTTTAAGAAGTTTATCGGTCTGACCTCGAGATTTTTGCGATCCGCCATGACTCCCCCATCTTTGTCGATCATCTTCTCATTCACCATCGCCATTATTCCTCCATTGAAGGCGCTTTTTGTTGCAGGGGTTCCAGGCACCCATATACCTTCAGCACCTGATGGTCAACCTCCACTCGCTTTTCTTATGAAGACGTCCACGTTTATTGGTAACGCATCCGTACCGATGGGCTTGATTATGCTTGGGTCTGCTCTCGCCAGACTAAACGTCCCGCGAAACCAGTGGAGTTCTCTCCCTCTTTGTGCCATCGCGAGTTGTGCTATTGGCAGACTCGTCGTGATGCCTGTGCTGGGCACCCTTATTTGCCAGCAATTCACGCGTATCGGACTAATAGATCCCTCCAACAATGTGCTCAGATTCGTCTGCATGTACGTCCCCTTTTTGAACGTTTGAGGCTGGATGAGACCTGATCTTGGGCATCAGCCTCGTGTCGGGTTTGCCCACTGCGTCCATGCTGGTAGTGTTTGTTTATTCTTGGTCTTGACCATGATATTGAGCAGCGTTTACTAGGTGTTCTTGACTCAAGTGTACTCTGGACAGGTAATGCTGAGCATTTAGCAGCGTTTTTGATACCCCAGTACATCATCGTGTTTATATCGATGACGGCCTTCACTACTCTGACGCTTGGCATTCTGTTTGGATGATTCCCTGAAGCAGGGATGTATGGATCGCGTTATGTGCAGATCTAGATAATGCAGCGAATCGACGGGTGTCGTTTTTGCTTCCTGGCCAGTCGGATAGAACAAGACACATATGATGAGTCCATATAGCACGATGTAGAATATACAAGAGCACCTGGAACTGTATTTATGACCTCAAGACGCATCCGTTTGTATACTTTTTTGTATCCATTTCTGTCCATTGAACGATACTCTATGTAGGACGATACTAGCTAGTCTAACGGATGTCCCTGTGTTCTGTGTCGCATATCTGGAGTTACGAATACCCTGATGGAGGCGTACACTCACCAGTCCGCCGTTCCCGCCGGCCGTTTTGAACGTTCACTCCTGTGAAGATGGGATGAACTTTGGCGTGCTTTCGATATGTTGTATGCTGTCTTGTACATGGCTTATCGCACGCTCCGACGCATGTTCGCACCGGCGAATGCAGTCGGTATGATATTATTGGGGATCCTGGACTCCACCTACGTTGTCCATCAGTGGAGTGGATTATCCTCACCAGTACGCCGTTCCCGTCGGCCGGTGAAGCTTTCGATATGTAATATGCTCTTGGCCTATATGTGGCTTATCGCATGCTCCGTCGTATGTTTGTGCCGGCGGATGCAGTTGGCACCACGGCTGATGGGGTTGTCGGGGATCCTGGACTCGACTTGCAGGTTTTATATACTTGTCTGTCAGTGGGGAAGTGGATCATCCTGACATCACTGAGCCAGTCATTCAAAGAGATGAGAAAGCCGTCGCGATAACGACCAGGGTAAGGATTGCTAGCCCTGCCAAGTGGAATGTGCCGAGTCACGCTGAACTTGCATCACTACGGGGAACATTGAATATTGTCAGCACGGCCAATGATGGAGACAGTGGTACATCACTATGGTACCGGGATATTGTCGAACCATGGTCATGCGCTGTGAGGGTTGACATGGACATGACAGATGCAGCTACGGTGACCGATATGAACGTCAGATGAGCTTGCCATTCTGGGGCACTTGGCGCGGTCAAATGTCGCAACCTGACAAGAGACCCATTGTTTGTCGGGTTGCACGAGCGTTTAAAGGGCAATTTTAGACCAGCAAGGTGTCAAAGACGTCAAAGGCCGGTCTTCTCGATGCCGGCCGGCCTGTATGACATGTGCAAAAAGACACGTGACGTGAGTTGCAGACATGCCGGTACGTTTATTCCTCATGACGTCGCTGTAGGTCACTGCAGACTGTGGTGGTGTACCTTCGTCGAAGAAAGATTCAATGTTTCGTCATTACTTCTAGCTGAAACACGAAAGCATCAACCCTTCTATCAGTTGTCATAGCACCATGACTCACTAATCGTGAATCGTGATGGGCCGAAACTTGTACATAAGGGTATATCAAAGGTAATAAGCCTAGACCGAACACATGCCAGTGTAATTCGCTTCAACGACGTGCAGCTTCTAGGGTACTTTGTCTCTAAATACAATATTTTGTCGAGTCTTGCCCCAAGTAGCTATAGGATATATGGTTACGTGATCATGTGAATCTGGAATCCGGGGTATCACAATTATAAGCCAAGACCGCAGAGTATTTCTGGTCTTTGGACCAATCTTGTGATGCTGGGTTTCGGCGGCCGTCGATGGGTGCAAAGATTCAAATATAAAGCGACAGAAAGACGTCCAAAACCTTGAAAAGTGGCGTGGAGTGATGCGGTTATGTACATGGAGTCCGTTAGCTTAGAAGCGGATCTAGTACTCAACATAATAGCCGCCCATTTGATTACATAATTAGGTCAGTTTTCTTTTTCGGACTCTATACTCCCGCTCAATAAATAGTAGGTTCGATGTCGAATTTCAACCTCGTCCGCGTTGGTCATCTTCTCTCTACCGCCCACTTTCTCAGCCCGCTCATTCTTTCCTCAACATGTCTGACGTCGAGAAGGCTAACTCCACCCACCAGATCTACGAAAGGCAGACAAAGCCCACTGCCCCTCCCCCAACCCGTATCGCCAACCCAGGTGCACTGTAAGTTCTCCGTGTTTGTCGTGCCCGCCGGCGTTCTGAACTCGTTATATCAGCGGTCTCTTCTCCTTCGCATCCACGACTTTCATTCTCTCTCTCTACAACCTCAACGCGCGTGGAGTTGTAGCCCCCAATGTAGTCGTCGGCATGGCCTGTTTCTGTGGTGGTCTTGCTCAGCTTCTCGCGGGTATGTGGGAGTTTCCGCGCGGCAATGTATTTGGTGCAACAGGTAGTCACTTTGACACTGGCGTCTTTCCTGCCGCGGCTATCGTACATCATGGACGATGTTGTTCTCCCCAAACACGATCGACGGAGTCATGTGATCTAGATCAGAACTTACCTATTTCTGCTCGAGTTGTTCGGTTACCAATCGCGGTGCCAGGAAAAACATTCTGCAATAAAGCTGCCGCTTCATTGACACAACTTATTTCACTGAATTCCATCAAATGATGAATATAATGCTGACTATTTTGTTGCTCAGCTTTCACATCCTATGGCGCGTTCTGGATGTCATACGCCACTATCTTCATACCTGGCTCTGGAATTATCGCTGCATATGGAGAGAATCTTGACGAACTCAATCAGGCAGTCGGCATTTACCTGATCACATGGTTTATGGTCACTTTCTTGCTCCTGTGCGTCGCGCTGCCTTTTGGATTCTATGCAACTTCTAATGCGTCCTTAATTTTTAGGATAGGAGCGCTACGCCGTAACATCAGCTTCATTGCGCTCCTCTTCTTCTTGTGTATCACCTTTATACTCCTCGCGGCCGGTGCCTGGTTAAACAAGCTCAACATCCAAAAGGCTGGTGGCGGATTTGGCATCCTTACCGCAATGATTGCATACTACTGCGGTCTTTCCGAGTTGCTAGTCAAGGGAGAGAGCTGGTTTGGCCTTCCTATGGGAACTATCAAGCAAGGACGCGTGGACTGAATGCCGGACTGATCAGTCTGCGTGGGATAGATAGTTACTGAACATCTTGCATTGTGGACACCAGTCTGGGACTACCTATCTTCGCGTCTTTCCCTTGAACATGGTTGGCATTCGATCACTCCACCCCACCTACGTTTTGTCTTTTCATACCCTGCGATATCACCCTCCAATCTGACAATCCATTTCGCAATACTACTCCTTACGGTCCTCAACCTGTATAGATCACTCCTTTGGCTTTGGATTCCCTTGTGTCTTGAAAATTCACCTTTCACACTTTTTTACCATATTCGAATCATTCGCAGCGGCGATTGAACAATTACGATGGAATCACGCACTTGCAAGTATCGGATAAGTTTTTCCAACCTTGGATGAGCCTTGAAATTAAAATATCAAGGACCAACGCCCATATGTACGTAAATTTAGAAGCTCCTCATGCGTGCTTCTCGGACGCTTTGGGATCATGACTCCCAGGTTCCAGGGTCACCCCAGTTTGAGCCACAGTTCTTGATGAGAAGTATTTTCAATCAGTGTGAGGAATACAAGCAGTCCAGGTAAGACAGCCCAAAACATCGCTTTACTCCCTGATTTTTTTTTGAAAGCATGGTCTGCAATCGAAGACGTGATGGGGTTAGGAATTTTCTCTATCCCCAATATGTACTCGGTCTTATCTTCGCTAGTGCATCGGTCCGATAATGTATCAGTACGACTAGAAGAAATTCAATTCCGATGGTCAGACTAGTACTAGTAGTGTACGACGTACGTGATTCACTGGGCGACGCGAATGAAACCATTTCCAGCGTAGCGGCATCATGTCGAAGGGCCGAGCCATTCAATCACCACCATTTCACTTCGGCTTCGGTAAAGAGGACAGGGGTGGAAGATAGCGAGCACTGACCGTGCAACAAGGTACACGGAAGCGATGTGTCGTGTACAGTGAATCCGACACGATCGGGAAAGTTCATTGGTTGTCCCCCACAATCGTGGAGGACACGTTGGGGGTGGCGATGTTGCTGCGAACGTGGGATGCCTGAATTTATGGGTATAATAACGGGTGCTATCCCAAACCGCAGAATTTGGGACCGCGTGGGACGCGTTAATATCCGGTTTCTGACTGCAGCCTGCTCATAGGGGATGTGCGTGAGTTCGAGTTGGAGAAGTCAAATTGCACGGCTACCCCTGCCAAGAAAAACACTCATCTGCGTACCCAGGGTACGGCTCCGACGATGGGTACCTGTTCCACAGATTCTTAGGGGTGTTAGAAGCAACTTGCCGATACGATAGAAGCAGACTGCATAAACCTGCGCGAAGGAACGCTGGCGTTTTATTCCGGGCGTCAAATTTGCGATGACGACAGGTTCAGCGCTGAGGACTAAAAATGTCGCCTACGCGACCAGTGCCTTATAATGAGTGACCCGGGCTATGGTATGACATGGATAGATATATCTGACCTCACTGTTGGTGCCTCTAAGACAGAATCGGAATGGGGCTCGCGACGCGCACCATGAGAAATCCTAGAAAGTCGTTGGCGTTGCTCGTCTTAACTTGATGTACAGCGGAGGAAAACATAATTTTGAATCTGCTTGCACGTGAGATCGTGATAGCCAATCGACCAAAAGCTGTTCGTAAAGGGAACGTCACTAGAATTGCAGGAGTACTTTGACGGGGCCTCACCATGCAAACCTGTAGAGAGCCTAATCGATTATCAGACTTGTCAAAACGGGCCAGGGCTTAAGCCCTCAGTCAAAAACATTGTCTTGACGAAGGGCTTGAGCTCCGAAAAAGGTGGACACGTCCCTGGTCACATTGGTTCCGGCCGGGATGGATTGTGTTACATTGTGTAGGGTCGACCCCGGTGACCTTTGAACAACTGCCAGAATACTTCATCTTCAATTCTTAGCTGCGCCGTCTTCAAGAAAAATTCATGCGCCACTTGAAAAAAATGACTCGTATGGGCGATCCGATAAGTTACCATCGATCTCGGCGGATTGATTGGACGATCCTATGAACGGGAATGAGTCAACTGGAGCCTCATGGCAGGCTGGCAGAAGTGATGATATGAATGAATGCGATGTGTAGCAAGCCCTGGTTGATTCGTTCTAACTTCTGATAGAATCAGAGATAGAAAAAAAAAGTGACGTAATACGACTGGCCAGGTCGGAGGGAAAGCGTGTCGCATACGGTGGCGGTGAGAGAAGCCACTACAGCTAGCCAATGGGTTCTCGGTTAATCTCAGCGCTCACCATACTCTCCAAGGCATGCCGCGCAAAAGATTTATCTAGATTGCCGCGGCATAGGTATTATGGCACTCCTGGCAACAGTAGCCAAAAACTGATCCGAGCAACTGCAGCGAAGGGGAGGACATTACCCATATATATGCGAGGTACTATATCTTGGGGAGTTGCCCCGTGACGTGAAGGCGGAGAGGATATCCAAAGATCGTGCGACGCCTTCAGGTAGATGATGTACTGAATATAGCACTCATGACCAATTAATCAACGGGGTATTCATTCAAAGCATGGAAACAAGGTCGTAATGGCAGCCCTTGGCGGATAAGGATTACTAAATACCAGTGTCAGTGGATGCAGGTAATTGGAAGAATAACAGGTTGTTATACGTACGCCACGAGCCAGCTCCCAGATAGATTGAGTCATGAATCCTCTTCGCGGGTGGCCGAGAAACTGACACTTTACCGCTTCTTGGTTGGTTCTGGCGGCTCACAAAACATCGGACATGAAAAACCCAATCCGATACTGTTGACTTCAAAGTCTTTCAGGCAGCTGACTCAAATCTGTCATGGTCTCGATTGTTGGCAGAATTTGATGCTAGTGGTGGTGCGTGTATTGGTAGCCGAACCATGCGAACACGGAGGGTGGAGTGTACCCAAATGGTGCAGGCTATACATCCTCGCGACATTCGCGCGGTGGAACCTTGTGACCTAATTACCGTGACTATGATTGCCATCCATGGCAAACTGCCCTTGAAAACCAGCCATGATGGCTGGATCAAGCAAGAAACGAGGCATAGATTGGTCTATATTGGCTGCATATGGTGTAAGTAGCGTGTTCTAATACATAGCGCAGATCATACCCGGGAACTCAAAGGCCCCTGACATGTCACCTCACCAGCCAACGCCGTCAATGCCATGCCTTGAGTTGGCAGTAACCTGAAGGAGCTGGCATGCTTGTAAGACGCGACCGGCATGGACCGAAACTCCGCTTGCTTTACATTTGCGCGCTTGTTTCCTGATTTTCGACAACAAATTTGCGGGTCATCTCTTTTCTATCTGTCCATCATGTCCTCTAACGTGCCCATTGCTCATGGTGATATTACAGCACCGACTCCACAGAACACGCCCTTGACGCACGCTCCAATCGCTGCTGGTCTTTCGCGTCCAACAGTCCCCGACATCTCGGAAGATAATGAACCAGCCGAAGATGAAAGTGAAGATCCTGCTCAGATAACTGGTGCTCAGGCCGCGATGTTGGGCCTTGTTCAAGGTCGTCTTGCAGATCTTGTCGGAAAGAGCTCTGGGTATATTGAGAGTCTGCCCATCGACGTGAAGAAGAGTGTAGAGGCCTTGAAAGGGGTTCAGGTCAAGCAAAATGAGCTGCAGAATCAGTACAAGCGCGAATGCCTGGAACTTGAGAAGAAGGTCCGTCATTATTTTCTTGACTCGTGTTGCTGTCTGATTTTTTAATTTTTCTTTCTTTCTATCAGTATCTCGAGCTTCAACAACCTCTATATGAGCGGAGAAACGCGATTATCTCGGGTGCTGCTCAAGCTACTGCGGAGGAGATCGAAGCTGGCAGTCAAGCTTCTTTGAAGGATGATCCATTATACACGCCACTTCCCAGTGATGAAGGCGTACCAGCAGCTATCCCAGAGTTTTGGCTTACCGCACTCCGCAATCATGTTGGACTCTCGGAGATCATCACAGAACGAGACGCTAGTGCACTCAAGAACCTCACTGACATTAGGCTATCGTACCTTCCAAGTGACTCACCAAAACCCGGATTCAAGATCAGCTTTATCTTCAGCCCAAATGATTACTTCGAGAATGACGTTCTTGATAAGACTTACCTCTATCAGGAAGAGGTAGGCTATACTGGTGACTTCGTGTACGATCACGCGATCGGCACGGAGATTAAGTGGAAAGAGGAAAAAGACTTGACGAAGGAGTTTGAGATCAAAAAACAACGGAACAAGAGTACGATCATTTGTGTTCTGATTGAACGCATCTCATCATCTTCTTTAGACACAAACCGTACGCGACTGGTTCGCAAAGCACGCCCAACTGACTCATTTTTCAACTTTTTCTCGCCACCTGTGCCACCTGAAAACGAAGGTGAAGATATGGACGACGAGGACCTCGTTGAACTGGAGGAGAAACTGGAGATGGACTACCAGATTGGCGAGGACCTCAAGGAGAAGGTTAGATACCCCCGCAATCATATCGGAATATTGCTGACTAATGATAAATGCTCTAGATCATCCCACGTGCCATTGACTATTTCACTGGCAAAGCCCTTGAGTACGACGTTATGGATGAAGACGAAGATGACTTTGACGAGCTGGATGATGAAGATGAAGACGGCCAGTTCGATGACGAGGTATGATCCTACCACCTATGGACGTCACCCACTGGCTCATCCCTTTCAAGGACTCTGATTCTGAGGTTGAGTTACCAAGACGTCGCGGCCCTCCCAAAGGCCGCGGTGGCTCGAGTGCCGGTGCTGTCAACCCCGAAGAGTGCAAGCAGCAGTAGGCGAACATCCATTCCATCTCTACGATTTGAGACACCACCTTCTAAAATTTTCTGTCGTTGCATTGTTGACATGAATTAATACAATCTTCCTGCCTGTTCTTACATGTAAACACACCTTGCTGTGCAACTCTCATTCTTTTCTGACGCAGAACTAGTTTTCAGTCGTTGCTCGAATCTTTTCTACTAGCCCTAATTAATCAGGGTGTTGTATCAAGGTCTTACGTGTTTGCTTCAGTTTGCACCTAGCATAATGGAACGTAACGAATGGATGTCCTAGGGGCTTCCTCTTTGTTTGCGATGTACTACTTAGGACCGCTGTATATTTTTTCATAAAATACACTCAAAAATTCAGATTCATTGTGCCCGTATGTAGAAACTCATTTGGTTACACGTCAGTTGGAACCTCCGCCTGGGGGGTGAGGCGAACTGCATGCCTCCTATCCCCAAGATTGAAGTCTCCAGTTGCAGAGTGAACAGTGACTCGGTTGTCCTGCAAACGAGATAAGTTCAGCAACTAGTCGCGAGAAAGAAACGCAATCCACCCACCCAGACAACAACAGTGCCGGGCTTATACCTCGCACGAATCTGGAAGTCCGCGCCCTTCGCAATGTGGTCGAACAAGAATCTCAAGAGGTACTCAGATTCCTCCGTCTTGTAGCCGACGATGCGGCGCGTGAAGCCCGGGTTCACATAGAGTGCTTTCTCCCCGGTCACAGGGTGCCGGCGAACGAGAGGATGCTTCACGACGAGGAGATCAACATGTGTGATATTGAAAGGCAAGAGATGTCATCTACCTCGGTCAGGATAGGTTCCCGACGGACGACCCCACCACGCCTGCGAGAGGACTCTGCTTGCTCGAAGGCGCTGTGCACGGCGCGCAAGCCTTCAAGGCGTTTCTTGAACTCGGGGGAAAGACGGTTGTATGCCTCTACCTGAGATCCAAATAATGTGTCACCACCGACTTCTGGCTGTGCTAAAATTAGGCATGGCACAGATAGCCATGATAGGGGGGAGATATACCTGGTCCAGAATGAAGAAGAACGTGGTTCCGGCGGGTTGTTTCTCGTACGACTATATGGGGACATCAGAAAAGGGGTAAGCTATAGCAAATGAGGCTGTACTGACAACGTCGGAATGCCATTGCGTGCGATTGATGCGTTCGTCAGATATGACCTCCTTCAGCATGTCGTGTTCAGCACCCCGATAAACTATAGCCAAGGTGAGAATAGGAGAGAGCCGTGGCGATAGCAGCCTCACCGACGTGGAACTCTGGGTATCCCTTGACATTCCCTGAGGTCGGATGCCTCTGAATTCGTCCAAAGTGCCTAGCAAAGCAATATCATGAGTACGCATACCCACTAAAAATGCAGGGTACCGCACTTGGCGATCTCAATCTGCCTATCAGGTCCTATATCTTTGAAGTCTTGATTGCGGAAGATAAGGACCTTCCTCTCCGCGGCGTACAGAGCGAGCTCATTGAGACCGTCCTCGCTCAGTTGGGAGATCTGCACACCGGAGATCTCGGTCCCAATAAAGGGGCTTATGTGGCTAACATTTGTCTCGGGCGTCAACAGGTGTGGCTTTGCACGGTCCGCCTTGGCACCGGGATCCGTGTGCTCTATCTTTGATGTCAGTTCTAGCCCTCCTTCGACTGACGACGTTCACATACCGTAGACTTGCGTCGGAGGGAACTTCTCTTCCGGGTCATAATAGGGATAGTAGAATGGGTAGGAAGGGCCATTCTGTAAACGGACATTGTCGGGACACAATCGAGGGCTACAATACATGCGAAACATACATCCTGTTTTGTGGCCATTAATTTGAGATCAGCAATGGCGTCTGTGACGGAGGGTACGGTATCAGAAACCGAAGGCGCCATTACAACTGATTGTGTCGATGGAGTATGGACAATACCCAAAAAACTGGGACACTTCCTTTATATCTGGAGGGGTGGGACTCTGATACCTGTCGTTGAGATTGCATGAGCATGTAATCTCAGAGTCAAATGGCTTATTGACTGTGCAACGGACATCATGGGGTGCACGACAATAATAACAGGCAATGTGATAGGAGGTCGGTCAGAAGACACTTGCCGCTTGACGGGATAACAGGTCCAGGCGAGCTATGGGGAGCGAATGACGCAAAGTGACGCCACGACCCGCTGATTATGAAGTTATGAAAGCACGCAAGGAATGCGCTAGTGTCCCCAGTTAGCATGATGTGTGGATATGATGCGCCACTGACCGGAAGTTGATTGTCTCTGTAAATTTAGGACGCCCAGTCGAAGACGGGCCGGGTAAATGAATTACGTTCAACTGGAATCATGTGTGCACATCAATGGCCTAATCGCAAGAGGCGTTGCGCCATGTATCATGTGGCGTATTGGCTCACATTTGGTGGAGCTGTCACGATACTCACTTGGGAAATGAATCCTCACCACTATCCACTGCTGTCCTTGACCCTAGAATGACACACACTCCATGGCTTTCGTTCAAGTCTATGCAAAGGGTCTTTCGCTTGTCTCAACCTAGACACTACAAAATTCGGTACCGAGCACTGGGCCTGGGAGAATGCATGAACCAGAAAGTGAGCGACGATAATTTCATCACGATCAAAATGATGCTACCTTCACATAACCTGAGAGAACCTATGGTACAGAGGTCAAATGCAACTACTATTATCAGACCGGGCGTCAAGATGGAAATAGACCCGCATGCTTTGCTGTCTGTGCCTAAGAGCATACCAATCAAGAGAACATTGTCACGGATATAATGTGCTCAGTCAATAGTAAAGCATCGCAGATGTATCATCAGCCTGGATCCATCAGAATACATTAGGAATGCCAGGCAGGGGACAAAACGGTTCAACAGTACTTACGATACAACTACTACTGCCATTCGTTTGAAATCACTTGTGACAGCTATTAACTTTCGATGACCGGCTTCCGTCGTGATGTCCAGCTCCCACCAATCGATTGGTATGTCTCTTGCTCTTGGAAATTCGGGACTATGCAGCCACTTGATTTGTCCATGCAATAGAAAGCAAGTTTCTGTCCCATGGCGCTGATACCATTGAATCTGAGTGCGGTGGTTATGGGTTCAACATTACGAAACCTGACCCTCATCTTTTGTCCGCAGCGATCCTAGCTCAGGGATTATTGAGTTCACCAGGGGATTTGATTTCAACAAAGAGAACAGGAATGCGGCAGAATTGATGGCGAGAGCGATGCTGAAAGTCATGAAGAGACTTGTCCTCGTAAAGGAGACTGGGATCTTTGAATGCTCTGGGAGTGAGTCCGTAAATTGGATGAGTTAAATACGGATAACCGTCGAACACTGCCCGGACAAGCATCGTGTACACCTCGCAGAAGTCGTTTAAAAAAGTTGCATCAGTCAGAATTTGAGCAAACCTTCAACATAGTCCCGAAGATAACTATTATCTGTTTCAATCTTAATGGTGTCTATGTGAGCATGGATTACTCATCGGCCATCTCCTGCCAGTCTTAGAACAAACATTGAAAAAGTCACGGCTATTTGGGGGTCACTACTGCGGGTATAGTCTGCCAGCAGATACGGTATCTGCTGGCAGTGTGCGCACTGGATTTGATTAGTAGAATTGGGCTACGGCCGTGTTGTGCGCAGCTATCAGCCTCTACTGTGATGGGCCTGACAGTGGTAACCGCCTTCCTGCCTTCCTTCTTCCTTCACTCTCTTACATCTCCTTTGACTTATCCTCTAGCTAAATCTCAGACGCAAAAACACAATCACATATCCTCTAACCTTACCATCTAATTGAGATGCCTTTTCCGTTCAAGTTGTTCCAGGCTATCGGAAAGATTTTCGCAATTCGTTTGAAACGCCCTGAAAACCAAGGACGCACACAACGCAACTCAACAATCGCCGATCATGAAGGCAATAGCTCCATCCTTACAGATATCTCTGATCCCGTTCCTGCACCAATGCACTCTTCGAATTCTTCGCCAGCACATCCCGTTTCTGCAATTAGTGAACCAGGTCTCGAAGAACCCCCCGCCGGCTTTCCTTCTGCAGTGTACCCTTGGAGTGCATCCCCTGCCCGCGAAGCTTCCGACATCGCTCAGGTGGCTCTGCCCTTGGTACAGGCTTTTACGGGTGTAGTTCCACTTGTTGGTGCTCCGATAAACGCAGCTATTGGCGGATTGTTGGGAGTCCTTCAAGTTATAAATGTGAGTGATTGTCGAATGCTTAGATGTTTCTGGATTTCGAGGGCCATCACAGAGATGCGATCAGAACAAGGCGGCCTTGGATAACCTGACATCGCGACTCTATCGACTATACTACCATTTGTGCAACGTCCCACCTGCCCTGGATCCTCTTGAACATTCTCGGAGAGACCTTTTAGCTAGGTAAATCCATTATGAATGTGTGCTTGAATTTACCCGATACCGAGCCGCACTCAGAAAGCTGGAAGACACCTCAGTCCGCCTGAAAAAGCTGCAAAAACGTCGTCTAGCATACGCGTCCGTCACACAGGCTATCACCGGATGCTCGACTGACATCGACCGTTATCTGATGGAGTGTTTGGTTGTGTTCTACCCCCTAGAGAGGCTTGCATTTGCTGACTACTCTATGGTCAGTGGTCGTCCCAAATGCAAAGTCAACGCGAAACACACGAACTGCTTATACTAATGTCACGGAGGCGGGAGGAGGTTCAGCACATCGAACAGTCCTTCGCACCACTATCTGCATCGCCTTTACTCGGAAGCGTCGCGCCTGGGTGCGTGACACTGGTAGACGTAACAGGCCGCCACCAAGCAATATCGGTGAACTGGTGTACCTCATATCAGGTCCGCTCGCTGGCCTAAAAATCGTTGTTGTGAAAGCTTACTGGTCAAATTGTCTTTAGCAACTCAATCACATGCTTCGAGTTCTGTTTGAACGCGATGCGATTGAAGCCCAAATTCAAAGACGGTATATAGAAGAAGGAAAGTACGATCTGTGCATTGACGAGGGCAAGCAAGTGACCCTACTCACAAGCGACAATTGGTCGAGCATCGAACAAGGAACGAAGATTGTGATGAGGGTTACCATTCAACAGGATATGGCATCACTCTCTGAGGTTGATTACCAATGTCATTTTTGTGGCGCTGTGAATCGCCTTGGTGCTAGATCTGTGAAATATGAGTATCGAGGGCGGACTGTTTGCTCGACTGAATGGTGAGTATGTTTGTTTTTTAGATCCTGATGATGCCTAACGATGAGAAGTCGAGAATGCAAACGATGCTTCCAGATCACCCGTAGCTTTCCGAGCGCGGGGAAACGATCCTATAACAGTGACTCCAACCACGAGGTTGACGCAGAAACGCTTCTTGTTCGCAACTTTCATGTCCAGCAAATTGTATGTCATCCTGATACTCCGCTAGCAATCTTGAGCTGACATTACGATGTACTTCCCGCTCTCAGTCTGTGCGTGATCTGGTCTTTGGACCTTCTTAGGTGACGCTGACCGTGCCACGGACATGTCCCGCTCTCAGTATGTGCGTGATCTGGTCTTTGGACATTTTTAGGCGATGCTGATGGAGCCACGGCCATGTTCCGCTCTCAGGCAGTGCGTGATCTGGTTTTTGGACCTTCTTAGGCGACGCTGACGCAGCCATGGCCATGTCCCGCTTTCAGTCTGTGCGTGATCTGGTCTTTCGACATTCTCAGGCGACGCTGACGCAGCCACGGCCATGTGCCGCTCTCAGCCTGTGCGTGATCTGGTCTTTGGATCGTCTTAGGCTCCACTGACGGTGCCACGGATATGACCTGCTCTCAGTCTGTGCGTGATCTGGTATTTGGACCTTAGGCGACGCTGACGGTGCCATGGCCATGTCCCGCTCTCAGTCTGTGCGTGATCTGGTTTTTGGACCTTCTTAGGCGACGCTGACCGTGCCACGGCCATGTCCCGCTCTCAGGAAGTGCGTGATCTGACCTTTCGACTTTCTTAGGCGGCGCTGACGGTGCCATGGCCATGTTCCGCTCTCAGTCTGTGCGTGATCTGGTCTTTGGACTTTCTTAGGCGACGCTGACCGTCCCACGGCCATGTCCCGCTCTCAGAAAGTGCGTGATCTGGTCTTTGGACCTTCTTAGGCGAAGCTGACCGTGCCACGGCCATGTCCCGCTCTCAGCCTGTGCGTGATCTGATCTTTGGACCTTCTTAGGCGAAGCTGACCGTGCCACGGCCATGTCCCGCTCTCAGTATGTGCGTGATCCGGTCTTTCGACCTTCTTAGGCGACGCTGACGGTATCACGGCCATCTCCCGCTCTCAGTCTGTGCGTGATCCGGTCTTTCGATCTTCTTAGGCAACGCTGACGGTGCCACGGCCATGTCCTGCTCTCAGTGGGTGCGTGATCTGGTCTTTGGACATTCTCAGGCGACGCTGATGGAGCCACGGCGATGTCCCGCTCTCAGTCTGTGCGTGATCTGGTTTTTGGACCTTCTCAGGCGACGCTGACCGTGCCACGGCCATGTCCCGCTCTCAGTTGGTGCGTGATCTGGTCTTTGGACTTTCTTAGGCGATGCTGACGGTGCCATGCCATGTTCCGCTCTCAGGAAGTGCGTGATCTGGTCTTTGGACTTTCTTAGGCGACGCTGACCGTCCCACGGCCATGTCCCGCTCTCAGAAAGTGCGTGATCTGGTCTTTGGACCTTCTTAGGCGATGCTGACCGTGCCACGGCCATGTCCCGCTCTCAGTTGGTGCGTGATCTGGTCCTTGGACCTTCTAAGGCGATGCTGACCGTGCCATGGCCATGTCCCGCTCTCAGGAAGTGCGTGATCTTGTCTTTGGACTTTCTTAGGCGACGCTGACCGTGCCACGGCCATGTCCCGCTCTCAGGAAGTGCGTGATCTGGTCTTTGGATCATCTTAGGCTCCACTGACCGTGCCACGGACATGACCTGCTCTCAGTCTGTGCGTGATCTAGTCTTTCGATCTTCTTAGGTGACGCTGACGATGCCATGGCCATGTCCCACTCTCAGGAAGTGCGTAATCTGGTTTTTGGACCTTCTTAAGCCACGCTGACTGTGTCATGGCCATATCCCGTTCTCAGGAAGTGTGTGATTTCCTTTGCTCGACTTGTTGCCGCTCGTTGACCCTCACGACCAGGCAAGATTTTTACGCAGTGTTCGTGAGACTCCAGCCATGTACCACGGAATAGGTCATGTCGCGCCCTCACATGGTATGTGATCTTGTCTTTGGTGATACATCATGAATATTGACTCTTTCATTGCGCTAATAGACAGTCTCTACACATCAGCAAACTACCAATTTCGTGACAGTTCCCACATCATTGACAAATCGGCACAAGGACACACAAGGCCATACACACATCGCAGACACACAAGCATATAGCCAATAATTTGGATCAAACTTGACATGCTTGACAAACACACAGTAGCACAGACATACAAACTGTATAAACGACAAGCCTTGTATAGGAAAATACAAACGCGGTCTTTTATTGAAGCTATTTACGCGCAAAGAAGAAAAAGAACCTGTCTCTATGCACCTCGGGCCCAGCCCTTACAGAAGACGTGGGCTTGGGATGACTCACATCTAATGGTTCTTTCGGTACCGTATCGCATGCAGTACTAGTACGTAGTAGCGTGGTATGAATCAGGCAGACTGTTTTGAATTCGAACAGGAATTTCGCTGCGTAAATTCTTGTTACGCGAGTCACCCAAGAAAGAAGACAGCCTCCGGATTCTTGTGACGCGGTTTTGTGTTTAAAATAAGGCATAGGCTATTCCTGTCGGACGCGTTACTAATGGTATTGTAGTCAGCATCACAAGATATAAGCGCTTGAGGCTTCGCTTCACCCGCTCCATCGCCTTTTCATCGCGCGAAAACGGACGAGAACTTTGCAATTGGCATGACCCATGTCATATGCCGAGACGCTGTTTCACCTCCGGGCTAGCGCATGTGGACACAAATTGAGTCACCAAGTCCACCAGGATCGGACAACTTCAGTCACTCCGAATCCAGTTTGGTTACCGACCACACATTTTCCGACACAGTTGCAGTCCGTGTGGGATAGCAAGTCATCCTTACGGACTACCGGTTAAGATAACCTGTGCACGGTACTGGTGGCCTTAAATAACAGGTGCAAGAGCCATCTGAAGCTCATCCATCTTCTCACTCATACTTATCATCATTCTCAAAATCCTCCAAACAGACAATGTCTCTCCCCGAGAACACTACCGTGCTTATTGTTGGTGCAGGCCCCGCAGGTCTCACAGCTGCTCTTTCTCTCGTCCACTACGGGTGCCATGACTTCGTTATCGTGGATGCCGTAGGCGAAGGACTGAATGCATCGAGGGCGATCACCATACACTGTGCAACCGTCGAGGTAAGCTACCTTGTGCGTTCGTAAGAAGGCCTACTGATTTTTCTATGATTTTAGGCCCTAGCTAGTATTGATGCAGCAGATGGCTTACTGTCTCACGCCATCAAGGGAAAGGGCATCAGAATCACATCTCGTACTTCGCAGATCTTTGACGCAAAGTTTGACTCTCTAAAGAAACATTCCGCCCACCCTTACACGCTCTATATCCCTCAAAATGTGACGGAGCTTGTACTTGGGCAGAAGTTGCAGAGCCTTGGTGTTCAGGTGCAGCGTCCACACAGGGTGGTAGGAATGAAACAGAATGAAAAGGACTCTCGCATCACTGATGTCTCCTTTGAGGACGGTCAAGTTATCAGAGCTAGATATATTATCGGCGCCGATGGCGCCCGCTCAATCGTGAGACCTCAATGCCCACCAACTTGGCTTAGTAGAGTGTCTGACGACCATTTCCAGATCCGTACCATCGCCGGCATAGGGTTCTGTGACCCAGAAGGCCCGCACCTACCCAACAACGTATTGGCTCAAATGGTCTCTGCAGATGTCACATTCGAGCCCGAACCTGTTGGTCCAGTCACCCTCGAGGGCCACCTTAACGGCACAGTTTTTTCAGGCAATTTCTTTTTTCTTGTACCATTTGGCAAGCGCTTCAATACCGAGCTGACACGAGATGGAAAGCCCACTACAAAATCCATCTTTCGTGTAGGTTGTGCCGTACCTGCAAAGAACGGAGAGCCCCCCCATGCTCCACCGAAAGAGTACATCCAGAACTTAATCGACACATACGGGCCAGCGTGTATAACATCAGATCCGTCTCTTAACCCGAAACCTGTCAAAGTCGACCAGCTGGTCTGGTCGACACGTTTCAGAACTCATTCCGCCATCGCAGACCGTACCTTCACGCGTCTCGGAGCCGCCATTTTTCTAGTCGGCGACGCAGCCCATATACATTCACCTGCGGGCGGGCAGGGCATGAACCTGGCCATCAGGGACGCGATCTTCCTCGCAGAGGCTGTCACGAAACACATTCAAGCGTCTGCAGAGGATCCCGATGTGGATGATACCATTTTGCAGGAATTTGCGGAGGCGCGTCATGCACGAGCGCTAGAAATCATTGGCTTCACCAAGACACTCTTGAAACTCGCAAGCCTTACGTATGATTCATATGCTTGGTGGATGCCGTTCAGTTGGGCGTCCATCCGCGATTTAGTGCTGAGGATATTGGGCGGATATGATTTCGTGCAGTCGAAGGTTGCATGGGGTCTGAGTGGGCTTGGGAGACGGTAATCGCACATTTTGGATGGTTTGGTTACGATATTACATTTTGTATACCATAATTTACGACATTCGTATTTCTATTTTCAAAGATAGGATAGATGTAAAAGTATCGAATATTCCAGAGTTGTGTACGTACTGGCTGCAGTCATTGGACGGACTTGAATGCGCTCTTGATCAAGGAGAGGGTGGGAGGGAGGTGCCAGACTACAGGCTGATTCTCATGAAGACAGCGAGCACAATTGATACTAGAGCATGTGCTATGAATTGTTCTTAGAAGATGATGTAAATTATAATGTGTATAGATATGTATGGTACGATAATGCGATGTGGCACTCCAATCATCCTCATATGTGGGTTTCATCTTCGCAAACTTAATTGTTAACAATCTCAGCCATCATGATGTCCAGCTCCCACCAATCGATTGGTATATCTCCTGCTCTTGGAGATTGAGGACTATGCAGCCACTTGATTTATCCAATCAATAGAAGCAAGTTTCTGTCCCGTGACGCTCATATCATGAAGTCTGAGTGCAGTAGTGATGGGTTCGAGGTTATAAAATCTGGCTTGTCTGCAGTGATCCTAGCTTAGGGATTATTTAGTTGATCAGGGAGTTTTGTTTCAAGCAAGAGAACAGGAATGCGGCAAAATTGATGGCAAGACCAATGATGAAAGTCATGAAGAGACTTGCCCTCGTAAAGGAGACTGGGATCTTTGAATGCTCTAGGAGTCCATACATTGGATGCGTCAAAAACTGAGAACCTCGGACCAGCATCGTGTACTACACACTGTAGTAGTCTTTTCAAAAAGTTGTATCAGTCGGAATGCGAGTAAAC